GGGCAGGAGAAAAAGAGCTGTTCTTGCTGGGCTGGGGTGCAGAGGAGCCCTAGAACCTCAGCGCCTCCTATCTGCTGCTCTTGGAGTTGGAGCCTGCTGTCAGGGCCTCCTGGGAACCCTAGACACCTCCTGCTACGTCCTCACTAGGCACAGGGCAGACAGGAATGTAAGCCCTGAGATGCCCAATGTTCATGTGCAACAAGCACTAGGTGTCTGAGGTTAGGGGCCAATCTGTCCAGGGGCGTGGATCAACTTTGTCACTCTGGAGGCACTCAGTGCACGAGGACCATGCAGCTCTTCCCTGTGTGGAGCAGCCGCGGCCCCATACATCAGGCCGCCCTTGTCCACTAGCCGTGTCTATTGCGGCCCACCAAGGGCTCTGTTCCCAGCACTCTGCTGCCAATGGACAGAACCAGCACATACAGTACATATTCATAGGCAGGAGCCAGGAAGCAGCTCAAGCCCCAGTTTTCACCGGGCACACTAAGACGCAGTCCTTTTTTTTTTTTTTTTTTCTTTTTCTTTTTCTTTTTTGGTTTTTCGAGACAGGGTTTCTCTGTATTGTTTTGGAGGCTGTCCTGGAACTCACTCTGTAGACCAGACTGGTCTCGAACTCACAGAGATCCGCCTGCCTCTGCCTCCCGAGTGCTGGGATTAAAGGCGTGCACCACCACCGCCCGGCTAGACGCAGTCCTTAGACCCGCAGAGGCCCTGCTCTACCACAGCAGGCAGAGGGCGGAGCCCGGGAGACCAGGGACTCCCGAGAAGGGTGCAGGAAGCCCACAGATGTGAATCCCATCTGGTCTTTTTCTGCCCAGATGTCACCTTGCTCCTTTGTGGCTACTGGCCTGTTTATCTAGACTCCCCGGGCAGCGGCAGATGGGCTTTTCAAGGGCTCCATAGAGCTGCCTGTGTGCTGGGTATCCATGGTAGATGTCACATGAGCACTCTGCTACCTGGGGAGCTGGCAGGAGGCATCACGCTTCTGGAGTCAAAGGTCCTGCTCCATTCTCGCAAACCCATTGGCTGTGCGGCCACAGCACGAGCCCTAAGCCACACCCTTTGCTTTTCCATCAGGGCCTGTGGGATGGTGGGGGCCCTGGACAGAAAGTCTCAGTAGAGCCCCGTGGGGTGTGGGAGGTGGGGCGCACATACCCCAGCATGTCACAATCCAGCTCAGAGAGCCCACATCACAGCTACAAGGGAGGCCTGTCTCTCATTCCACCCCCAGAGAACAGACTAGGCAGTCCTCAGGGCATCTGAAGGCCCAGGTCACGGGTTGGCCTTTCTACATCAGGCACTCCCAGAACATCCTTCAAAGCTGAACTCTTACAGATGGTTTAGCAGGGGCCACCAGAAGCTGCTCTCGTACCCAGGTAGGGACACGACCCCTGACGGGAAGTCTCCCCGCCCCCCAAAGAAACATGCTATTGCCTATCTTCACTGTCCACCAGGCCTGGACCCGGGGCTCCACTCAAAGATTCCAAGAACTTACAGACAACATCTGAGAATTAACGATGGCACTTGGGGAGGACATTTGGGCCAGGCTTACTCTCTGCAGGTGTCCCCGAAGTAGGGTGCAGATTAATATCACCTGACCCAGCAGTAAAGCGAGGGGCGCCTCCAGAGCCCTGCTGACCACCCACAGGCCTGGCGCCCACCCGGGCGGGACTCACTGCAGGGGCGTCGGTCGAGGTGTAGCGCAGGATGACCTGGAAGGGCTGGTGCGCCTGCAACTCGGGAGGCAGTGTGACGGTCAGCGAGGAGCCATAGTCGGTGAACGGGTCCAACCTGAAGGCCAGAGGGCAGCCGGCGGACTCCGCGCCAGGAGCATCGGCGAAGGCGGGCAGCGGGGGACCCAACCCGGGGGCAGGGAAGGCGAAGGTGCAGGGCGAATCGGAGGAGGCAGGGGCGCGGCGGAACGAGACCGAGTGCAGGCGCAGGGCCGGGTGCGCGTCGAGCACGAGCGCGCGGGGCGCGGGCCGCAGCGCGCACAGCTCCAGCACCAGGCAGCCGGCCAGCTCGCGCGCCTCAGGCCGCAGCTCCAGGCCCAGCTGCAGGTGGCGGAGGCGGAAGAGCTGCGCGCTGGAGGCCGAGGCCACGTCCAGGGCGGGCGGCGGCTCGGGCGGCGGGCGGGCGGGCGCGGCTTCGGCACCGGGCGCTTTGCGGCAGCAGCACTGCGCCGCCATAGCCACCGGCGCTAGGTGAAATCCATGGGCGGCGGCCGCTGCAGGCCGCGGGCAGTGGGCGAGGGGCCCCGGGCGGCGGTGGCGGTGGCGGTGGCGGCGGCGGCGGGGCGCGGGCACAACAGGAAGTCGCGCCGGGAGCCGCCCGGCCCGGCCCCGCGCCGTGCGCCGCCCCGCTCGGGCTGGACTCGGCCGCCGCCGGGGGCGCTGTGTGCGATCCCGGGGCCTGTGCGCTGGAGCGGCGTGAGCGGCAGAGCGGAGCGCGAGGCTGGACGCCTGGGGAGGCTGCGCGTCCTCAGCCTGCGCTCTGCACTCGTTAAGGCTCGGAAGACAGCCTTGGAGGCGGTCGCTTTCCCAGGGGCGCCAGCGGCACCTTGGCAGTCGGTTCTCTGGCTCCGGGAACGATCCTTGTGGTTCCCCTGACGCGATTCCCCCCGTGAGTCCTGCAGTTGGCCTGTGCTGTGGCCGTGCGGTGCAAAGCGGCCGGAAGGCGCTAGACTGTTAAGTACATAGCCCATACTATGTGGCTATTTAGATTCAAATTAAGCATGACGAGAAGCTGTCAGTTACTCTGGCCGTGTTTTAGGATCGACTTTATTGTAGTCGAGACGTGTGTGAAGTAGAGATACACTGTTGAACGCAGTTCTGTCTCATAGATCCAATATAAGGGTTGCAGGAGTCCTCTAGGCTAGCGCAGCAAACACGGCAACTCAAAGGTTGAGCTGTCCAGTTCTGGGACCAACACAGGTGTGGACAGATGTGTCCTGCTATCTCTATCTGCGGGAGGCGGGCGCGGATTCTGAGGGAGGGGACTTTTAGGGCTGTCCCCTGCTCTGATGATGGTGTGACTGCAGTGTCACTTCTGGGGAGTGCTCAGCTGTCTGGATCCAGTCTCCCCAAACGGAAGTCAAGTGGTCCTGCCCTCCTTCCACAAGTGAGAGAGGCGCAGCTAAGCGGAGAACAGGCCACGTGTGCAGCCTGAACACGGACACACACAAGGCTTCCTTTGGCAGTAGCCCGCAGGTCTCACGTGCTCTCTTAGGGGCAGTACATGGGAAGAACTCCAAGGCGCATGCTGTCATCCAGAGGCTAGGATTAGAGGGAGGAAGACCGGGCTTGGATGGGAAGCACTTGACATTCCAGCAGTTGGAAGACAAAAGCATCAGACGTTCGCCATCATCTTTGGCTGTATGTGGAGTGTGTGAGGTCAGCTTGGGTTACTGAGATCCTGACTTAAAAGAAAAAAGCAAACAAATAAATAAAATGAGTGAGGTGACCTGGAGTTAAGGTTACTGCCACTTTCTGGTGTCCAGTGGCCCGTTCACCAGATTGTTGAAGAAGGAATTCTTTCTTTTTTAAAGATCTATTTATTCATTATGTATGCAGTGTTCTGTCTGCATGTATGTCCACAGGCCAGAAGAGGGGACCAGATCTCATTACAGATGTTTGTGAGCCACCATGTGGTTGCTGGGAATTGAACTCAGGAGCTGTGCAAGAGCAGTCAGTGAGTGCTCTTAACCTCTGAGCCACCTCTCCAGTCCCGAAGAAGGAATTCTTAATTCAATTGCACTGTCTTGTTGGTCCTTTTGTCGTTCTTGATGTAGACTGTAGGTTTCTCCCATCCCAGTTTCTCAAATTGTACCCCCGAGGTTGGGGTCTTACCTTCCCTGTCCTGGTGATACTTCCTTCTGCTAACGGAAGGGATGTTGTGGGGCAGCCTTGACCCAGCTATCCCTCTTCTGCAAGCGGGCTGGGTGTGTCCCCACCACATGTGCATATAAGGAGCCAACGGCGTTCTTTCGACACAGAGGACATTTTGCACAGTGGAGTCAGTGGACTGCAAACTCCAAGTCCCCAGATGGTGTCCAGCCAAAGAACCTGTCCCCCTAACACTGAGAAAAGTTACCAGAGTGTCCCCTTGTGGTTACATTCAGTGTTATAACCCAAGTCCCAGAAGAAGAGTGTTTTTTTGGGGGGGGATTGTCCTGTAGTCCCTGGGGCAGAGGTTTGAGAGCTGGGCCAGGCCAAGGCTACCGTTGAATAGCTCCCAGACCTGAGCTGGTGGAATAAAAGCACCCTGGATAATCCACAGATCTCCATCAACCCGGCCTGGGCATCATGTGCCTTGCATCTTTGTCACCACTAGGTGACTTGATTTTTGCCAAGTCAGCAGGTTAGAAGGTATGCCCTGCCCTGATGGGAGGGCGGTGGCTTTTTGGAAGGTGTTGTGAACGGGGATCAGCTACACAGGCTGGGGGTTAGGGGTAGGGAGACGTGGGCCTGGAGTCCTGTTCTCTGCAAGCCTCAATGGCTGAGTGGGGACAGTAGCTGTGACTCCGCTAAGGGACCTTGTGGAGGAAGCTCAGTGGTCAGATGAGCTTGTGCAGCAGCCCTGAGGACAGCGCCAGCTGATGACATCTGCAGGCTAGGTGTTCCCCACAAAGTGTAGTTAGCTTTTTGAACCAGTGACCACTGAAGCGCCTGTTCACTGCAGCCAGAAACCGGAAGTGCAGGGGCAGGTAGCACCCCAGTGCCGTGGTCATGAACTGTGTGCCTCATGTCCCCTCAACTTTGGGTTCTGCTAAGTGAGAAGTCTTCATTCTTCATTCGAAGGGAGAACCCTCCACCTGGGGACCCAAGTATGTTTCACTGCATAGAGGCAGAGGTAATCAAACCCTTTCATCTCTTCAGGGGCAAAATGGGAGCTATTCTGTTTGGTGGTGGCAGGGCATGACCTTCAAGGAGCTGATGCAAACAGACTACCCAGGCCCCAGAGGGAGAAGCAGGGAGAAGTAGAAAGGGAAACCATAAGAACCCACTCTAGGATTTTATTCACTGATTCACATTTGTTTGCAAATTAACACATCTGCAATTCACACACATAGCCCAGGTGTTTCTTTGCTCTTCCCTCACTACTTTAAGTTGTGACTAGATTTCCAGGGCGCTCGAGGAAACAGGGTGTCTGTGAGAGGCTGTGTCTAAACTAGAAGAAGCAGCAGCAACACACGGTGGCGACTGATGGGCCTGCCTGCCTGCTGGGGAGGGTGGTACGCAGGGCACACTGGTAGCTTGACGATGCCAGGCCAGGCGCTGGCATTGATGCAAGAGGGTGGTGGGCGGTGGGCAGATGCCTCCCTCCCATGGCGTAGCAGCTGTAAGACTGGGGATGGTGGGCTCAGGACCTCCTGCTGGAAGACTCTAAGCTCAGGTCTAAGAAGAGACCAGAAAGAAGTCCAGAGTCACGAAGAGGTTCTGCCTGCAAACCTTGGAGGAGGCAGCTTAGTAGGCGCCCCAGACGCTTAAAACAATCCTTTATGTAATTTTCTCTACGTAAACTTCGCTGGTTTGGATTTGATCCAAACCTGATGAACAAACGAAGTTCCCCTCTTCTGCAGACACTTCTATGCTGCCATCAAGAGGGGGCAACACCGGAGGCCAGTGGCCTATTGAAAAGAGCGAAGGCCACCCCAGCAGTTGAACGGTGCGGTGCGGAGCGGCTTACTCGGGATCAGCTGGGTCCCCGGGTAGGAGGGCCTGGGCCTGGAGCGTCTGTTCATACTTCTGCAGCTGGGCCCAGAAACCCAGATTGGGCTCGGCTACCGGGCGAGCGCTCTTGACCATCTGTAATCAAAGATGAAAGAGATCCGACAGATCGTTCAGGGCGCAGAGGCTCCGCCCGGAAGGTGAAGCATGGGGCACGCCCCGGAAGAACCTCTCTCTACGTGGGGGCCCGCCCCGGAAGACCCGCCCCTGGAAGCTCGCACCTGGAAGGCGCGCTCCAGGCTGTGGCCGCGGTGCCGCATGAGATAGGCGGTGCAGACGGCTGCTGAGCGGCTGCGGCCGTTCTTGCAGTACACCAGGCAGGCGCCGCCGTCGCGCACCGCAGCCTCTATGGCGGCACAGGTGGGCTCCAGGTGCGTCAGCAGGTCTTCAGCAGGGTCATCGAACACGGGTACGCGCAGCTCGGCCACTCCGGGTGCGCGCGGCCCGGGCTGCTGGCGGGAGACGTTGACGCACAGAGTGATGCCGGCGCGTACCAGCAGCTCCGTCGCACTCGCGGCTCGCGCGTTCCCGATGAAGAGCGCGGGGGCGACGCGCGCGAACGGCGGCGGTGCAGCCTCAGAGGTGCCCATGACCCCCTAGGTCAGCAGATGGCCCCGGGTTGCGGAGTCCTCGCTCTGGCCGCTAGGAGGCGACCGCGCCAGGTCGTGGGGCGGAGCCTCTCCTGGCCTCCGCTCGGCATTGGCTAAATTGACAGTGGGCGGGGCTAGCAGTTGGTTTTGGATGCAAACTGGGGGCGGGGGGCGGACGCGGGGAAGGAAGGAAGGAGGCAGACGGACCCTGGTGGTCTGATTGTAAGGCAGAACGAGAACCAACGGTGACAAGCGTCGTTAGTGAGTGGACGATGGTGCTGGCCCTCTGCCCAGGACAGCAGGCTGCATGTCAGTTGCAGTTTTATTTCCTTTCGTTAAATGATTTCTAGTAAATTGCCCCTTGGCACACCCAGCTTTCCCTTTGTAAAACATGGTTCATGTACAATAAAACTACCACTGTGAATTCATGTCTTCATAGACTGGAATGTTCTTCTTTCCTAACTTTTTAAAATTCTAAGTCGTTTGGGTCAGTACTGTGACTTCCCATAGCTTAGAATTATTTAGTGAGGCCCTGGAGACGGCTCAGTGGGTGAAGGCACCCGTTGCCAGGCTTGATGGGTGATCTGAGTTTTATTCCAGGGGCCCACGTAGTGGAAGGAGAGAACGGATTTGCTGGGGAATATTATTTTAAGGTGTGTTATTTTTGTTTATGCTGCATTTGTTTAACTGTGAACCCGTGTTACTGTGCCTGTCTTAAACACCTGGTGGTCTAAGAAGGCGCTGAATGGCAAATAGCAAGGCAGGAGAGAAAGGAGTAGGCCGGGCTGGCAGGCAGAGAGGATAAATGAGAGGAGGAATCTGGGAATGGGCGAGGAGGAGGAAGACTTCAGGAACCAGCCACCAAGCTACACAGCCAGACACGGAGTAAGAAGGAAAGAAAAGGTGGACAGGAATAGAGAAAGATAAAAGCTCTGAGGCCAAAGCTAGATGGGGTAATTTAAGAAAAGCTGGAAAGACATGCCAAGCTAAGGCCAGGCATTTATAACTAAGAGTAAGCCTCTGTGGGTGATTTATTTGGGAGCAGGATGGTGCCCCTCCTCCCAAAAAAAGATCAAAGGAGCTAAAAGAGTAAAACGAGCAAAAACATACAACACCTACTCTTGCAAGTTTTTCTCTGCCCTGCACACTCGTGCTTTTATATATACAAGCACTCACCAAATAATTTTTAAAATTAGAAATGGCGGTACTTGGTGTCTGTGAGAGTCATTTTTTCTGATGTCCAGAATTTTAGAGGGATGGTTCTTCTGAGGCACCATCATCTCACAGCCATCGGCATTTACCTAATTTCAGTTTCAATTTTGTTACTTTTGGTTTCACTTCCATGGTTAAGTCACTTCTCATTACTCTCAACACTCCCACCCCCGTAATAATAATTTCTTCAATAATCTTGACAAAAAGAAAAAAAATGGGCCTATTCTCTGCCTTCCTGATACTAGGTGTTAGTGACTCCCAGGCCATTACCGGAGACTCTCAGTTCATGACCATAGCCTGTCCTCCTCTTGTGCTAAACACTCAAATATCTGTGGCCAGTTCAGGCAGAGGAGGCCTCGCCACAGCTGTCTTGGTGTTTTGACCCACTAAGGAGGGAGTTGATTTTACTGGGACAGGAAAACTGTGGTCAGAAAACAGTTCTAATCTCAGAGGGAATGAGTTAAATATGAATGGTCATGGCTGGCACCAAGGACTCAAGTTGCCCACAAATATCTTGTAGAAAGTTTCACTAGCATTTATAGCTACAGAACAGAATGAAGGCATTTTTCAAATATGTTGGTGGAAACATCGGATAAGTGGGTTACAGAAAAATGGGGAAATCTGGTATAGGTTTCTGGTGCTCTCTGATGTCATTTCTTAGATTTTAGGTTGGTGTGGAGGCCCATAGAAGTGGCTCTGCTCCATCTTGACATAATCAGAGAGTTCGAGCCTGTTACTGTTCCTTCAAGGTTAAACAACAGTATGTTTGGCCTAACTACTGTATGTATCTAATGGATATTTTACCTTAACAATAGGCTATTTGGTTTAGGGTGTGGTTTCTTGATGTTTTGGGTGTTAAGGAGGTAATTACTTTTTTTTGTTGTTGTTGATCATGGTAAGAAAGTCTGCCTTCTCCCTTTTCATTGGTGTATATAAGAACTTGGAACAATAAACTTGGGGCTGATCCCAAGTATTTACTGGGTGCCCTCCCGACTCTATCTCTTGTCTATTTTTTCCTCAATCCACACTCCTTCTAAGCACAGATCTTAAAAATCTGCAGGACTGGACAGATGACCCCTCAACGTGGGGCCTGGGCAGATGGTGCCAAATGTTGGTGCCCAGACAGGTAGGGGGAAGGTAGTTAATAGTCATTGATTGTATATAAATTGAGAAAATGACGGCTCCTATGGTTAAGGAGGTTTTTATTTGTTTTTTTCAAGACAGGGTTTCTCTGTGTAGCTATGGCTGTCCTGGAACTCTCTGTAGATCAGGCTGGCTTTGAACTCAGAGATCTTCCTGTCTCTGCTTCCCAAGTGCTGGGATTAAGGAATGCTGTGCCACCACTGCCCAGCAGAAGGTTTTAATTGTAGATGTGAGGAAGAGCACAGCCAGAGGCATCTGGCAGAGTCTAGAGCATGGAGAGTAGACTGAACATGGCCAGCAGGCTGGACTTGGCCATGAGAGGAGAAACCAAGAGAGGATGACAAAAGAGGACCAAGAAAGATGGGGGGGAGGGGAAGCATAGCTGAAATAGCAGAGTTATAAGGACAACGAGAAGCTGGTGGGGAGGAAAGCCCATGAGCTGGGGAAGTATTTGGTAAGGGACAGCGTGAGAAGAGCCAGGATGCCAGCATGGACTCTGAAATGTGTAACAGTTACTTGTGATACTGAGGGAGCCTAGATGCCAGCATGCTCTTTGGTATACTACAGGAACCACAGGCAGCCATTCGCCTCTTCTGACAGTGATAAGAAAATGGCTCCTTTGGTATAGGGGAACTGGCTTCATGAGTTCCAGGGGCATGCTGGCTTTTGTGAGAACCAGATGTGGGCATTAGGATTAAAGAGAGCCCACAATCATTTAACTCTGGATTTGTAACTTTCCAGCTCTCTCCAGTCTCAGTGTTCTAATTGTTCAATCAGCCCTGTGTAATCTTTTTTTTTTTATGGACTTGCTCAGTTTGTAGGAACCCCCCCCCCCACCCAGGTGTACATTTCTCTATCCCCAGTTCCAGGAGCAAGCTCTGGATGCTCCCAAGTGTCAGGGAAGACTCACACCTGTGACAGTGCCTTAGAGTTACTTTTTCTTTTGTTGTGCTTATATACCATGACCAAGGCAATTTATAAAATGAATCATTTAATTTGGGGCTCAGGGTCACAGAGCATAGATCATCATGGAGGAGTTCATGGAGCAGGCAGGTAGACATGGCTCTGAAACAGTAGCTGAGAACTTAACATTTTTGAGACAAAAATCACAGGCAGAGTGAGTGTGTATGTGTATGTGGGGGGGACAAGCTAACTAGGAATGTAGAGATTGAAACAGCAGATCCCATCCCCAGTGACACCTTCCCCAACAAGGCCACACCCTTTCCAAACAGTTCACTAACTGGTGATCAGGCATTCAAGCATAGGAATCTATAGGGACCATTCATATTCAAACCAGCACCATTAGGGAATAGCCTTTTTGGACACTGTGAAGATGTGTCTTTGCCAAGGTAGCCTTCTGATTGGTTTAATAAAAGACTAAATGGCCAATAGCTAGGCAGATAGAGGATAGGTGGGACTTGCAGACAAAAAGAATGCCAAAAAAGAGCGTGTGGATGAAGAAGGGCATGGTCTCCAGCCAGGCACAGAGGAAGCAGGAGATGAGCATGCTGTGATGAAAAAAGGTACTGCCACATGACAGAGTGTAGATAAGAGATATGGGTGAATTTAAGTTGTGAGCTAGTTAGCAACAAGCTTAAGCTATTGACCAAACATTTATAATCATTAACGAGTCTCTGTGTGTTTATTTGGGGAGCTGGCTGGTGGGAAAGAGAAAGTCCACCGATACACCACAGATGGCATCAGGAGTGGGATTGGGCTAATGGGAATGAGGAGGGGTTTGGAAAGCTTTTCTGTCCTATCCTGTGGCCAGCATGGAAGTACTGAGGGCTGCTGTGGGAGTATACAGCAGGTTATCAACAGTGTTCAGCAGGCCAACCTACCAGATGCGTGATTCTCTGATGAAGAGCTCCACCTGGAAAGGTGGAAACCAGTTGCTCCTGTCTGTAATTTCTCTCATGGGTCACTTCATTTCTTCCTTAAGAACTTGTCTTCTCTAAGAATTGCTTTGGGTGTTTTCCCACTGCTTGTATGTTTATCTTATGAAAATATTCCATTTACTGGGCACACATATCTGTGAGTGATCAGGAAGATGACTTCATTTACCTATATAATTTTGGTATATAGAAAATATATTAGTACTTGCTTCATAACTAGATCTAATTGTCCCACTAGTACCGTAGACACTTAAAAAGCCTGCTTGTTCCTTTTGCTCAGACTAACTGCACACAGTTAGCCCACTTTCACCTCAGAGAAAATTCAAACCAGAATAAAGGCTTTTTGTAAATACATCATAAGTTTAGGGCTTTACAGCTCTGCACAAGTTCAGAATCACAGGTGTCTATCCAAGGTTACTACAAAGCACCCTAAGAAAAGCAGGCCAGTTCTTCGCTTGCCAAGTCTGCTCACTTAGTACATGTCACATATATTCATGTGCTTTTCTCTAATGACAGTTTTGAGCTAGGGCCCGGTGGTGGGTAAACAGAGTTAGTGGCAGCCAGTACTGTTGTCTCCCAGTTTTGTGAGAACTTAAAATCACTTTACACTTTCCAGGCAATAGAGGAAGAGTCCTTTTGGAATTTCACTTTCCCCATCATTGCTTCCAAATAGCAAACTTGGGTCTAATATGTGATTTCAAGTGATTTTCTTTGCTAATTTTCCAGTCCTTAACAGTTTTAGTAGAGAAAGCCTCATTCCCAGCCAGTGATTCACTGAATCCCGTAGCAACAGTGGTGGCTCAGTAGGCGCCTTCAAGCCTGCAGACACCCATTTTGGCAATGCAAGCTGCTAATTTGCTGAAAGCAAGTTGGCCTGAGATCAGTTTCCAACTATCCAATCTGTGGAATCTGCTAAATTTACCAACTCACCAAAATTAAAAAAAAAACTAATGTTACTAGTTTTTCTCAATGAATGTTAACATATTATGAAAACATTCCTTTTGAATAACTTGGAAAGGGTCGGGGTTTGAGAAGATGGAAGGTCTCTCTCTGTGATTGAGGCTAACCTCTAACTTGCAGCGATTTTCCTTCCTCAGCCTCAGGAGTGGGATTGGGCTAATGGGAATGAGGAGGGGTCTGGAAGGCTTTTCTGTCCTATCCAGTGGCCAGGATAGTACTGGGATGAGGGGCTTGTGCCACTCACTGTGCCTGGTGAACCTTTATGACAAACTGTGGAAATACACCTTTTTGATCTTTGTATGCTAAGTGTCCATGTATACACTTACGGATATAAACAAAATTTCAGCACGTCATGGATTTTGGCGCAGCCTTTCCACCTGCAGCTCATCCTATCACTCACGGCCTAGGGCACATTGGTACCCAGTCCCTCATTGTGTCTCTGGACACACACTCCAGTGCATCCTCTCTGCAACCCTGTTCAGTGCAACCCTGTTCTAGAAGCCCCTTTTCTTAGAGGTCTTCTTCTCTGCCTGGACCAGGCTGCGGTCTAGGGCTTTGTGAGCGACCACTGCATAAAATTGGGTTTGGCAGTCAGATGGTCTTAATCATGCCTTGGCCCCAGGGTCTTTCGCCAAGCATTCTCTTTAGGAATGCTGGCAGCTTCCGGCCCGAAGGCTAACTGGCGTTGTGGGACTGACAGGAGGAGCCCGCAGTCACAGAAGAGCTCGAGCTTTGGCGGTGGTTGAGTCAGCGTGATCAGCTCAGGGATTGGCGATGGTTGGGAGGAGGCGTGGCAATCTCAGTTCCGCTCGTGCATTGGCTGAGGTTTGTTCAGGGGCGGGTCTGGGGTCAGCGGGACCTGACTCCGATTGGTTGGGGCTTGGAGCAAACCCTGAGCGTGGCCGTCTCCAGGGCAACGTGACGCGCTCCTGTGGTGGCTCTACATCGCTGGGTGCGCTCTGAGATGCTTGGTGCAGTCTAGGCCAAAGGTGTGTGTCTGCTGAGGGCGGCCGGAGGTCTGCGGGCGAGGCTAGATCCCATGTGGTTTTGACGGCCCTTGCGGTGATGACCGCTCTGGAAAGGCCAGGGAACCCCCCAGAAAGGCCAGCGAACCCTCAGGAGCTAGAGGGGTCTACTTGGAGACTCCGAAGAAGGTCACCCAAGTCTGATGGGACTGCGGGCGGGTCCCCCAGCAGCCACTGTCCTCAGTCCTAAGGGCGAATTGTGAACACAGATTTGCTTCTAGGTTTGAAGAAGAGAGACATGGAAGACTCGCGTTCCGTTGTCACTCTGGACTCCCGTGGCTCGAAAACTTACAACCCCAGAGGTCTGGAGGGACGAAGTAGTCAGTCTCCTGACACCGAGAGCCAGGAATCTGTGAAGAGCTATACCTTCTTCAACAGAAGGTGCAGGGGTCCTGCTGGCAGGAAGATGCAATCGGCACCTAAGGGCAATGAGTCAGCTAGAATTCAATACTGGGGCAGGTCTCAAACATTGCTAAAGGGACCTGGTGTGGTGGCACCCTACCTTAATCCCAGCACTGGGGAGACAGTGGCATGCAGATGTGTCTGTTCAAGGCCAGCCTGGCCTATATAAGGCAATCCAGGCCAACGAGGGCTACATAGTGAGACCCTGGCTCCCATACTACTACTCCTCACCCCCTTCCTCGTCGTCCTCCTCCTCGTCCACCTCCTCCTCCTACATCGTTAAAGGTTCCTTAAACCTCCCTAGCCTAGTCCCAAGTATACCAATCCAAGAGGGGAAAGGATGGTCAAGTAGAAGCAGGAATCCCATGCCCGTTCTTAGGACTGTCCGAGTAATCCTATCCACTTCTAGGCAGTTGAAGGAATGGCCCTTGTTACCAGCATATCTCTTCACTACGCGGCTGATAATAGTAGGGGCTGCTCGGCCAGGAACCTCAGCAGAGCCTGGTCTGTAATAAACCCCCACCTGCACTGGTGTTTAGGAGTCTAACATAAGAATTTACATCTCCGAGCTGGGATGTGGCTCAGTTGTTTGTCTAGAATGCCCAAAGCCCTGGCTTTGAATCCCAACACTGCACAAACCTGTCGCGGTATTGCGTGCCTGCAGTCCCACACCTGGGAGGTGGAGGCAGGAGGATTAGAAGTGCAAGGCCATCACTGTGGGTGCATTAAGTCTGAGGCCAGTATGGGCCACCGGAAGACATGTTGGAGAGAAAAAAAGGAAAGCAGAGAATTCACAACAGCACAGCAGTGCCTTCAGCCTCATTATGATCGTTTGGGTGTCTGTCCTTCTTGACTTCTTTCTGTCTATATAATACACCAAATGTGGGTTTTGTCTTCTTCAAATGTGATCCTTACTTTATTGGGTAGATGGTGAGCTTAGGCTCAGTTGCCCTTAATAGGTACTCAAGGATTGACTGGTGGACTGGGTTAGGGCTGTGTTAGTCAAGGTTCTCCAAAGAAACAGAACGGACAGAATAAATGTATGTATGTGCACGCGTGCACACACACACAGAGGATCCAGACTCTCTGTGTATTTCCCATCTTTATGTAGCTTTTTTCTTTTATATTACTTTATTCCTTTTTAAGAACTTTCTCTACCCTTTTTCTTTTCTCTTCCAAGTGTATTTTTAACACACTGTAGTCCATTTAGGGTTTCCCCCCCCACCTGAATCTATCTTTTGTGTGTATCTGCATTCCTTTCGGTCTGCATGAGCAAAACCCCTAAATCTGCCATGTAGTTTGCTGGTGGAGCCCTCAAGCCTGCAGGCAGTGGCTAGGAGAAGCTTCTCTGTATTGTGGCCCATGTGAGAGACTTCAGAAACCTGCCACAACACTTACCTCATGGTGATTGGCTGCCAACTCCATGTCACAGGTAGCTGTGGGGAGACATGTCTCTCTGCATTGCAGCTGGCACGAGACTAGGAAGCTGAGTCTGACTCCGTTTTTTGTGTATTTAGAACCTTTTCTTAGGTGGATCTATGCCAGATAGTGGGTGCCATTTGTAGGCAGAAGTTTCCTGTCTCAACTGCGTGTTCCAAAATAACTGGCAGCTGCTTCCCAAGTAACTGACTTGGGAGACTAAATATAAATTATAAATGCTCAGCCAATAGCTCAGGTTTACTACTACCTGACTCTTACATATAACTCAATCCATATTTCTTATCTATGCTTTGTCACGTGGCTCATGGCTTGTTACCCCATTTTCTACTCATCCTGCTTCCTCAGCGACTGGCTGGCGTCTCTTCTGACTCCACCCTTCTTCTTTCCATCATCCTAGTTTGGTTGCCCTGCCTATAATTCCTGCCTGGATACCGGCCAATCAGCTTTCTATTAAAGCGATCCGAGTGACAAATCTTCACAGTGCACAAAAAGCTTGTTCCGCAGCAATGTATAAAAGCACAATAGTACAACACATATACTATACGCATGTGATTACTAAAGTGGCTTACAGGCTGTGGTCTGAGTATTCCAACAATTTCTGTCTCCTCAAAGAATGGAAGTTGTCCAGGTCACAGGTTTGGATCTTTCCCCTGATCTTTGGCACTTGTTATAACATCAGAGAAGTAGGCTCCAGCAACAGGAATGCCTCCGCAGGGTAGATGAACTTGCCAGCAAGAGTGAGGGCAAACAAGCAGAAGCAAAAGCTTCCTCCTCCTATGTCCCGGCAGCGACCAGACAATGTGACTCAGATTTAGCATGAGTCTTCTCTCCTCAAATGCTCCAACCCAGAAAATCTTTCACAGGTGTGCCCAACTGTTTGGGTTTTCGTTGATTTCAGATGAAGTCTGGTTGACAGCCGAAGTTAATCATCACAGGGTCTAAGGGGTCCCATGTTGTGTGATGCCAGCTAGACATTGGAATTGGTCTCCAGAGCAGAGGCATCAGCATGCAGCATCCGGAGAGAACTGAGAGGGGCCTGAGGGGGGAGTGTTATGGGCTTAGGCTGAGATCCTTGTCTAAGTAACAACTTATCCCTTGAGAACACAAGGCCAAGAGGGAGGCAAACCTACCTTGGACACACCTCTCCCTACTACGGCTTATGCATCCGGTGTCTGTCCATTTGTCTGTCAGTTTGCTGCCTCTCCAGCTGCTCTCAGACCTTTCCTGGGTCTACTTGTGCGTCTGAGTGTCTGTTTCTTGCTCAACCTGGGGCTTGTACTGCCAGCTCAGGAGGGAGGACTGTGCCGTGGGCAATCTGTCTGGAAATAGCTAGAGGGACTGACTGGTCCTATGTCCTGGGTGGGCACATTTACTCTTGACAGTTTGTACCCTTCCTGCACAGTTCATTTCCTGAGCAGCCCCACAATCATGGCATCTTCTATGCCCCAGTTTCCCTTTGGGGAAATGCGGAGCCTTAGGGTTATCAGGAGAGCAACATGAGATGGAGGGGCGGCGCTCTGCATGTAGTCACTGTCATGGCCTTCCTAGGGACCCTTCAGTGCATCCCAGGGAGGATGATGAGGAGTCCGAAGCTCCCCCGAGAGAGCGGGACCTGAAGGGGACCTACATCCAGCTCGTACAAGGGGTGCAGGAGTGGCAGGATGGCTGTGTCTACAGAGGGGACTTCGGACTCAACATGAAGCTCGGATTTGGCGAGTTCTCTTGGCCCACAGGCGAGGTAGGTGGCTGCAGCAGGGGCCTTTCTCCTGAGAGCAGGTGTTGCCCGCAGGATAGGGTTAAGGCTTTCGACAGGAGATCCCCAGAGGAGCTCTCTGCGCACCTCTCCATCATGTCATGGTTTCCTGGGGGTCATGCATGCAGTTTGGGAAGCTGTGACTGAAGAAGATAATCGCTTGTCCTGCATGGATGTTTCATTATTTAAAATATTTGTATTCTTTGACAGTTTCATAGTGTAGAGGATTTACCTTGAGCATATTTACTCCACTCTCTACTCTCTCCAACCCACCCAGCACGTTCCCTTCCCATCTTAATGTCCTCTCTCTTAAAATAACTCGCTAAGTCCAGCTGGTGCTCCTCCCATTTGCTTGGTGTGGAGCCCTCCCCTGGAGCATGGGGAGCAACCACACTCCTGGAGGAAATGGGCTGTCTCATCCCCAGCAGCCACTGACTGCCAGCAAACAGCTCCTCAGCTAGGGATGGGGCCTTGTGAGCCGCCTCCCCGTCTGCTCGGAATCCTACGCAGGTCTTGTGCAGGTAGCCACACATGCTGCGAGCTCAGGAGCGTAACAGCCATGTCATGCCCAGAAACCAATACGTCACAGCTCTCCTCCCCGGCACATCCTACCCCACTTCTTCTACAATGTCCCCCGAGCCTCAGAGGTGGGACAATCACTTATTCTCAGCACTTTGACCAATTACCAATCTCTGCACTGATTGATGCCCACTACAAAAAACAAGCTTCTGCCCAGGTTGAGGGCAGTACTAATCCATGGATATAAATATAAATAGTGAGAAGGCAGCTTGACGACATACGCCAGTTTGGCAAAATAACAGTAGTAGGTTTCCGCCCCCAAGGGGGGCTAAATGTTTTAAAGCTTCGGATTATCACAGAAACTCACACATTTTATCCTATTGAAATTGCTTGCTGCTTAAGATGAAAATGATGGCAAAGGATATTCTTAACTATAGAATTCACGTAGGCCCCCATGCTAGGCTATGCCCAGGACCTAAGTGACGACTTCTTGGAGGCAGGGATCCAAAACTGGAGCCCATGCCCAATTTGTTTGTGCTTCCTGTGTCACTGGTTGGGCCCAGGGGGCAGCAAAGCTGGGGGTGCACTGTGTCTGGAAGCCTGGCTGGGTCAGCAGGGATGCATTGCTATGAAAAGTTCCAGATGTTCGATTTTCCTACCATCCATGTCCAGGTAGAGGACTTGGAGAAAGAGATGAGGGCAGTGTCTTAGTTAGGTTTCTATTGCTGTGAAAAGACACCATGACTATGGCAACTCTTATAAAAGGAAACATTTAATTAGGGGGCTCGATTACAGTTCCAGAGGTTCAGTCCATTATCATCATGGCGGGAGCATGTCAGGGTGCTGAGATGTGGTGCTGGAGAAGTAGCTGAGAGTCGAACGTCTTGTAGGCAGGGCAGGAAATGGTCTGAGGGTCGCGCTGAGCAAAGCTTGAGCGAAAGAGACCTCAGAGTCGGCCCCCACAGTGACACACTTCCTCCAACAAGGCCACACCCCCGAGCGCCACTCCCTATGAAGTTATGGGGGCCAATTACATTCGCACTTCCACAGGTAGTCTAGGAGCCCTGGCACTGGAACCTGTCTGATGCTGCTCATGGCATGTGGGGGGTCATGGGCTCCTCTTGTGCGCCTTTGTTCCAAGTGTGGCTCTCCCTCTGGCAAGGGCTTCTCTAACCGCAAGGCTGGGCTTGCCTGGTCCAGTCCTCCCTCCAGCATCTAGTCCCTCTTGTTTGCTCAAGAAACAGTGGAAGGAACAGAGTTTCTCAGTCTAGTTCCTAAAGTCCCCTGAGCCCAGCTCCAGTCTGGAGGCTGCGTTGATCCAGGCAGCTGGGGCCTGGGGCAGGGCAGAGGTAGGCATACTTGGTCATGTACTCTTTCTGCTGGGAGCATTTCAGAGCAGGGGAATTACACAGGGGGTGTGAATCATTAGAGGTGCACTTGTCAGAGGAGAGCAATGGGGGAAGGAGCAGCTGTTTAGGGTGAGGTCTTAGGAGAAATGACGTGTTGGGATGGGAAGAAGGGCGGGAGTCCTCCAAGATCTGCAATGGGAGCAGCTGTGGGCAGAGCCTCCAACCCAGCCCTGGAACTCAGGGATGTCAGGAGCTGGCGTGTGGCTCCTGATGATGGTGATACCCGTGTGTTTGTGTCTCAAGTCTTCACCTTGCTTCTCATTTGCCCACTGTTCATGACTTCTTGAGAAATCACAACCAAGAGCTGCTGGCTCAGCCTTTTCTGAGGAGGGAGATGCCACCTCACAGCATATGGGTCAAGTACAGTGCCTGGGGCATGGGTGACACCTTCCTTTCCCCTCTCGTCCCCTTTGAAACACCCACCTGGCATTGTCACCTGAAGGGCTCAGGACAAGGGCATAGAGGCTCACAATGGACCCATAAGTGAACCCCACCTTGTCCTTAGCTAGGCTCAGGGTCCCCGACCAGCAAGCATCCTGCAGCCAGCTTGACCTCTGTTACCTGAAGGAGAGCTCATTATGGGTGGGGCCAGGACTCCTAAGAGGGGAGATCACTCTGCCACACCTAGGGCTGGTGCTGGCCTGACAGCAGCTCCAGGCAGTTCTAACACCCCCACCCAAGTCCAGACCAGAGCAGAGGGCAGGGAGTATGGACTCATAGGGCTAGTTGCCTGAAGACCCCTCCAGTTATCACATTGGTCACCTGGACTGAAAGAAGCCTTGTGTCTGGGTACCCAAGAAGCCCATCACAGCCCTGTGGTCCTCATTCTGCCAGCCAGGTGTGGTGGCCTGACTTAGCAGTTACCTGCCAGGGTGGGGGTTCCAGAGCCGAGTGGCTTCTTCCAGATAGGAGGTTCACTGACGTCTCCACTCCACAGACCTACCGCGGGCAGTTTTACCGGGACCATTGCCATGGTGTGGGCACCTACACATGGCCAGATGGCTCCAGCTTCACAGGCATGTTTTACCTCAGTCAACGAGAAGGCTATGGCACCATGTTCATGAAAACCAAGTTATTCCAGGTGAGGAAATACTATCATCATACGATAGATGGGGACCCTGTGTGGTCATGAGGGTTGGACTGTTGTGTGTTCATGTGAGGGGCAGCATACTGTGTGTTTATGAGGAGCTACTACATGTTCATGAGGGAGAGGCTGCTGCGTGTTCATGAGGGGCAAGGCTACCGTATGAACATACATGTGAGGGGTGGACCTCTGTTTATGTTGGGTGGGCCTTTGCATTTTGGGGAGAGGAGTGGGTGCAACTGTTGTCTAGGCCGCTGGAGAAAAAGACATTTAGACTCTGGAAAAGTTTAAGTAGAAGTAGCTTTCCTATTTTAGTGGCTATAATGCTACCAGCAACAAAGATATAAATAAAAAATAAAAATACACCTATCTATTCCCAGAAGGATCTTATCAAGTTATGTATCTTTTGAATTAAAAATACCATAAATGTTTATTTTTTAATATATAAAATGGATCTTTCTTATACATAACATATAAAACTTGCCTCTTCCTCCCAGGAAAAAACACAAATGACTTTCCACCCCTTAATTTATTATATATAATTTACAATTATAAGTACTCTATCACTAGAAAGTTTTGAAAGCTTCAACAGGTGTTGGTTTGTGTGCTTGGATACACTGCCCATGCCTTTGTAGTAAGTGTCCCTTCCAGTTCCAGCTAACCTTCTGCCTGTAATTGTGCCTTTGCAAGAGAGGACCACACAGTGGAGCCCTGCAGAGCTGGGTCCCGTGTCTTCCTCTTGGCCCGCAGGGCAGATCCAGCCCCATGGCTCAATGTTCTGTTGTTCCTTTGGTTACTGAAGTCTCCATGGTATGAAGCCACCACAGCTTAACGAAAAGTCCTTTAGACTGTTTCCTGATTGGGGCAATTGTGACTAAAGCTGCTGTGCGCACATGTTTAGTTTGGTTTTGTGTGTGCATGCAAACATTAAATGCAGGTTTTCATTTGTCTAGGGAATCTTCTAAGTGTGGCCTTCTGAATGCTCCCTGTCTATGATGTCTTGTCTTCTACCCATGGCTGTGGGATTCCAGTCTGCATCCCTGTGAACACTCGGTGTTACTAGTGATCCTTGCCAATAGCAATGCGTTTCATTGTGGGTGGGAGTAGTTCTGCCCTAACAGAGAGCCAGACAGCCTATCCGTCACCCCTTGCCCCGGGGGTTTATCAGTTTTGTTATTTGTTTCCCTCAGAGAATCGGCTTTGGCCCAGCTTATCTGTCATTTGGTTCTGTGTCAGCCTCAGTGTCTTCCTGTCCATCCTCCCTGTGCTCTCCTGCCTCCAGTGACTTCCTAAGCTTTTCTCACTTACTGATGGCCCACTTTGTGTCGGCTACACTCACTGGCTCTGTGTTCCACAGTTTTGATGGCCTCATATTGTCATTTCCATTCAGTTCAAAGTGCTTTGATTTCTGCTCTGATTGCTTTTTGACCCATGGTTTCTATTTTTTTTTTTTATGTTCAGACTTTGGCTTTTGCTGTTTTTTTTGCTACTGATCTCCTGTGTGCTTGCTTAATTTGCATGATTTTGGTGCTTTAAGTTAGCTGAGACTTGTGTTATAACCTAGACTATGGTCAGGCTTTTTCTTTTTCCCTTTCTCCTCCCCTCTTTCTTCCTTCCCTCCTTCCCTCCTTCCCTCCTTCCTTCCTTCCTTCCTTCCTTCCTTCCTTCCTTCCTTCCTTCCTTCCTTCCTTCCTTCCTTCTCTCTCTCTCTCTCTCTCTCTCTCTCTCTCTCTTTCTTTCTTTCTTTCTTTTGTTCTTACTTCTGTGGTGCTAAAGATCAGACCTAGGGCCTTGTTCGTGCAAGGCAAATGCTCTCTGTGGAGCTCCAGTTCCAGCCCTCTTTTCAACTGTTCTGAGATTGGCCTTTAACTCACTCTGTAACCCAGGCAGGTCTTGACTTTGTGGCCATCCTGCCCAGCTTCCTGAAAAGCTGTGATTAAAAGCCTTTATCACCATGTCTACCCAGCACGTCTGACTTTGCAGTGTTTGTTTTGAAAATTTGTTTGTTCACATGAAGGCCAGAGGACAACTTTGTGGAGTTGGTTCCACATTTACATGGGCTCAGGGAATGGGATTCTGGTCACTAGGTTTGCCTAGCAAGCTTCTCTACCTGCTGAACCTCTCATGGGCCCAAGGCCAACGTTTAAAAACATGTCAGCAGTTGCTGGCCACAGTGTTTTCTGAGTCACATATTTTTGATGTTTGCGGTTTTTTAAGTTGAAAATAAAGTGTTTTTTTTTTTTTTGGTTTGATGATTGTGTCAGTACTCAAACATGGTAAGTTATAATGTCTCACCACAATTGAAAACATTTTTTATTTAAAATACTCCTTAGAGTGCCACATTCAGTTTTGTATACTTTGAGACCATGTTACTTATTTGATGAGTAAAATTTTGGATTTAGTGTATGTCCCTGGTATTTGTCTTATGCTCTTTTACTATAATGAATTTATATGCCCTCTTTAAAAATAATCTCTTCAGGGCAGCTTTAATCCTAGCCTTGGGAGGCAGAGGCAGGTGGCTATCTGTGAACTGGAAGCCACATTGGTTTGTGTAGCAAACACAAGGACAGCCAGGGCTACATAGAGAGACCCTGTATTAAAAGCAAACAAATGAAATAAACAAATGAAAACCAAAACCCAAACAAGCAAAAGCCCTCCTCAATATTTCATGACCCAAGGTCTGTTAATAAGGTTATAGAAATTTTGGGACATTATTTTCACTGTGGTATATCTGTCACCATAACTTTAAATCATTTTAGATATTTCCTCTTTATTTTTTGAAAACGTGTGTGTGCTTATTTAAATTTAGTTCAGTAATGGTCACTGGCCAGTTAGATCTGCCTTGTCCCGTACAGTAGCCGAAAGCCATCGTGATGGTGTCTACTGAATGGTTGTGCTACACCTCTCCAAACCAAGGAGTTCTGTAAATGTGGAACACACACCAGGTTCTTTATTATGGCAGTGCTGGGGTGGAGCCCAGGGCCTTACACACTTGAGGGAACATGCTCTACTGATCTAGACCTTCAGGTCCCACAGACCAGAGCACAAAATTTATTAAGAAAAAAAAGCAAAATATCTGAAAAGCTTTGCATATCAGAGTGATATTTCAGAAAGGTTGGACGAAACATAAATGCTGTAGTGAAGTGAGTTCCCCCTCGGGACAGGGGATGCAGCCCATTTGGTAGAGTGCTTTCTCAGCACTCACAAAGCTCCAGGTATGATTGGCAGCACCACAAAAACTGATGTCATAGATGACATAGATGCCTGTGACCTAGGAGGTGGAGTCACGAGGAGCAGAAGTTTAAGTTCATCCCGGGCCTGGTTTTTTGTTTGTCTGTTTTTTTTTTTGTGTGTGTGTGTGTGTGTGTTTTCAAGACAGGGTTTCTCTGTGTAACCCTAGCTGTCCTGGAACTCACTTTGTAGACCAGGCTAATCTTGAACTCAAAGATCTGCCTGCTTCTGCCTCCCGAGTGCTGGCATTAAAGGTGCACACCACCACCATCTGGCAAACACACACACACACACACACACACACACACATGCACGCATGCACACACACACACACACACACAGTTTTTTACATCACTCTTTACATTCTTATAAATGGAATCATGCCGTGTGCAGTGCGGCTTGTCTGCTTTTCTTTTGTCTAGACACGAACCTTTTGAGGCCGGTGTGTCTATGTTTCACTGAGTTTCCTTACAGGTAAGGGTTTCACTGTGTGGGTAGCACATGGCTTTGATGTTGCTGCTGTTGTTTGCTTCCCTCTTTTTAGTTCACTGGCAGAGGTTCTTTTGAGTTCTTCAAGCGTTGGTTGCTTTTTAACAATCATTTTCCTGAGAACACTCCAGACAGCTTCGCAAAGCAGTCATGGCGTTTCAGCCACCAGTAGACACTTCAGCGGCTCCACACCCTTGTCTCTCTTGACAGCCCATTAATATTCATGTGGGCACGTTGGGACATCTCCTTGTGGTGTGCGTGGGTCTGGAGCACCTTGATGGCAGGCGACGCTGTTTCCGTCCCATTCCTCTTTGTTGTCTGTGTGTCCTTCATGGTGACTTGTTATATGTTTAGTTAGTGATATTAATTGGGTTAGAGAGCTTTCTATGCTAATTCTTCCAAACAGTTTTACGATTTAAACATATCCTTCAGCACTGTGGTGTCTTTTGAAGAACAAGTGTAATGCAATTAAGATTAAACCTAGGGACTTGTGCATGCTAGGCAAGTTGTGCCAGCTTTTTTAGCTTTTATTTGGAGAGAGGGTCTTGCCAAGTCACTCAGGCTGACCTTGAACTCATTCTGCAATCCAGCTTGGCCTTGGATTTGCAGTCCCCTTGAATACAGGTCTGTTTTGTTGTGAGGAGCCAACTTGTGTTTGGGTTATATTTTTGAATTGTTTCCTATCAGGTGAGTTACTGGGTCTTGATCAAGAGGACTGTGGACTCCACGCACCCATGTGACAGCTTCCCCCTGGAGTGCCTCTTCCCCTCTGGTCTTTGTCTTGCTTGGCTCCCTAGTGTCTCTTCCTGGCCCACTTGCTCTTATAGCTGCAACCTAAGCTGAGCTTTCCAGATAAGGGTGCTACCTCCCTGTTGGGCCCACCAGGCCTGCAGGCTACCTGGGTCCTCACTATGCCCCACCCCACCACTTACTTCTATGAACCTCTCACCCCCATTGCCTTAGTCCCTCACAGCGTCTTCTAGAAACGCATCTGCTGCCCCATGCACCTCCCTGTAGAGTGAAGTCACCCTCAGACACTGTATTCCTCTTCTCAGGATCCACTCTGTCAGGCTACAGACCTTCACATCTCCTATGCCCACCTCAGACTGAAGCCAGGAAGCCAAGATGAGATTGCCTGGTGGTAGATGAGGGCACAGGTGCCATCATCTCCATATTTTAGGTCATTGACATTTGTTGACCTTTGACCTCACAGTGACCTCCCAGCATCTTTTAAGGTTACTATAGAAGAGGCACATCTTGTGGGAAGCTAGGGCTTTACTTCCACCCCTGCACCAGACCGCTGATGCCCGTTTTCTTGTCTGAGATCCTTTTCTTCTCTGCATACCCGAGGCGGGTGGTGATGGAAGCATTTAGAATGGCCTAGAAGTCACACTCTCCCCTGGGGTCATAGAAAGCAAAGAGCAGTTCCTCTCCTCTTCCCTTTCCTGTCCTCCTTCCTCCTCCTCCCCTCCACTCTGGAGTGAAGCAAAGTGACAGGTGGGATGGGTTCCTAATATGCATCTCTGAAGGACCTTATCTGCAATGAAGAGATAAGAAGCCTGTGATGTTCCCCAGCCCTCAGGCCTGCAGGAGTCTCTTGGGAATGAGCACACCCGTGTGTCTCCATCACAGCCCCCTGGAGTCCTCATCTGAGAGAGGCCAACTCCTAGCCTGGCCCTTTGTCCTCCAACTTGGCCATAGCACCCTCTCCGTGCACCTACATTCTATCTGAGCATGATGGCCATGCTCTGCCCTAGTGCCCAGTACACCTCATACCTCAGTGTGTGTGTGTGTGTGTGTGTGTGTGTGTGTGTGCCTGTGCGTGCGCGCGTGCGTGCGTGCAGTACATTTCTTAGGAGTACACTCTCTTTGCTGATTTTATGAAACTGCAACTAAGTAGAAAGCTTGACTGAGTGTCTCTACTGGCCTTGTGGTTTCCCTTGTAGGGATTGTATAAAGATGACCAACGGTTTGGGCCAGGCATTGAGACCTACCCTGATGGCAGCCAGGACGTTGGACTATGGTTCCGTGAGCACCTCCTCAAACTGGGGACAGAGGTCCCCGGCAGCTTCTCCTTGCTGAACTACCCAGAATTCTTAGACTTCCTCACAAGCTCAAAGGAGAGAATCAGTCTCTCAGATGAGGAGAAGGTGGAGTGGGGTCTTCCTGAGGAGCAGGACCCCTTCTTCTATGAATACAAACGCTTTCTCCTGAATGATGACCTCACGCTGCCTCCAGAGATGCATGTCTATTCGACTGACAACAACCACCTGCCCATGACAGGCACCCTTCGAAGAGAGCTGGATGACTGTATCTTCATGAATGAGATTCCTCCATTCATTGAGGATGAAGAGCCCTGGATTATAACAAATGAGACTCCTTTGTTGGTCAAAATTCAGAAGCAAACTTACAAGTTCAGGTGATCAGTCTGGTCTTTCTGTCTTGTCTCCTCATTGAATAGGGTCCCCTTTGGGAAGGGTTCTGTTGTTCCCCTTTGCTGGGCTGCTGCTAAGGGCCTGGGTACCTCTCGGCATTGCTTGTTGAACATGAGAACACAGCATTTGTCTCAATGACTCCAAGGGCAAACCTTGGCTTTTGGACCCGTGAACATTCCCTCTTGTGTAAGCTAGAGCTTGTACACTTGAAATCCAGGCTCCTGTCTGCCATTAGAGGCTCTGTGAGTCAAGTCTCTCCACACCAACATAATAGAAGAGATCACTATTACTATCGCTTGTTAATGAAGGGTCTTGCAGAGAGCCAACAGTGGGATGCGGGGAAGGAATGAGGCCTGCAAACTGATTTACCCTCTGGTCTTTGCAAGGAAAGCCATGAAAACTGGCTCTGCTCTGCTGTCTCTGAAGAGACCCTCCATGCCCATAGCTTGGGGAAAGCCAGCACCCACCCAGGGAAAACTCTTCACCTTAAAAGTTAAAATACTCAAATACCTTCTACTGTTCTTACTTCCTTAAACAATGCCCTCAGATATCAGTGAACATTTTAGAATGCATTTGATGGGCACACATGACTATTTTCCATCCATCTATTCTTCCATCCATCCATCCGCCTACACACCCACTCCATTGACTCATCAATCGATTAATAATTCATCTACCCACTCTTTTATCCTTTTACCCGAGAAACTACCCTTACATCTATCCACCTATCTACCCACCCTTTTATTCATTCAATCCACCCATTTGCCCACTTCATCTATACCCACATATCCATGCCATCCCATCCATGCATTCACCCATCCACACACCCATCTACCCACCCATCCACCCATCCATCCATCCATCCATCCATCCATCCATCCATCCTTCCACCCATCCATCCATCCACCCATCCATCCATCCATCCATCCATCCATCCACCCACCCATCCATCCATCCTTCCACCCACCCATCCATCCATCCATCCTTCCACCTATCCATCCATCCATCCATCCATCCATCCATCCATCCATCCATCCATCCACCCAATCATTTACCTGCCTATGGCACCCATCCATTGTGTAGCCATCAACTGAGCTACCAAACATGGACAGCTATTGAGTGAATAAAATCTGTGGGTTCTTGATTGTGAATAGCATTCTGTATGTACATACAGGAAGATTTAGATTTAGTGTTGTGTGATGACCTGCGCCATGGGACATTGATATTCTCTACTCCAGCAGAAGGTGGGATGTGTTTGCTTGGCTCCAACAGTAGAGCCATGTGCTTGCTGGCTTTCTGCTCACTCAGGGTCCAGCCACTGAGAGCATATTTCCCAGTAAAACGGTAGTGAGCCCACGGAGCCAGACACGTACAAGGGGGCAGTGCTTGCAGTTCAGTACTTAACCTGAGCACTTTACCTCTAGATGATGTGTCTCCCTCACTGGGTACTCTGTCCTGATTGTAACTGGCAGGCAGTGCAGCCATTAGGGCTCAGGGAGATAAAGGGGTGATGGGTACTAAGGGAAGGAGAGCCCTAAGCAGGAAGAGGCATTCTGAGGAGTCAGCAGAATGAGGGGTGGAGGGAGGCAGCCCCACTTGGGCTCTTTCTTGTCGAAGGCAATGGGTGATCCAGGTTGTAGTCTAATACCCACGAAGCCTGATGTGTTCCCAGGAACAAGAGTGTGCATGCCAGCTGGAACATAGCTGCCATCCTGGAGGGGAACCGCAGCTGCTTTGGGCCCGGTGGCCCCAAGGAGCATATCTCCAGGGAGATGATCCTGAAGGCTGAGGAAGGGGACTATAACTGGATTTTTGGCGTCCTGAGGAACAACCTTGCCTGTGCTGATGTGTCTGACTCCAAGGGCTACACGGTGTTGGCTGCTGCCGCGGTAAGTCCTTTCTCCATAGGAACACTGCCCCGTGGGCTCCCTTGTGTGGTTCACTCAAGCAGTGAGTGTCTGACAGGAGCTAGCCAGTCCTCGGCACCAAACCAAACCCCACCCATCCAAGTGTGACATTCAAGGCCAGATGGAAGCAGGTTGGGAGGGATCCATTCCTCTCTCCGTTACACACTAGTCTCTTCATCAAGGCCAAACGAGTGTTGTGCGTCCACCTATAGTGCAGCCAGATGAGGGTAGCATGGGTGCCAGCTGGTCCCCCTCATGTCCTGCTGAGGGCCAGCTCCCGTATTGACACGTCAGACCTTGCCACTCTCTAGGTGCATTCTCACCGCAACATTGTCAACCTTCTCCTGGACTGTGGTGCTGATGTGAACAAGCGCTCGGACGAGGGCCTCACGCCTCTCAGCATGTGCTTCCTCCACTACTACCCCAGCAAATTCTTTCATCCCAACGTTGCCGAGAGGACCCTGCCCCAGGTCGGCCCCTGTTGGTCACCAGACCCTCATCCTCTGCCCGGCACCCCATTGACCTAAATGGCCACAGCCACCTCCCTGGTGTGTGAACCAGGCACACCCACATATGGTGAATGGAAAAGATAAGTCTAGTGGGGAAGGGGTCAGGAGGGAGAGCCTGGGAACTCCCAAAGGCATCCTGAGCCATTCCACATGCACCAAGGGAATGTTCCCTAGGATTCACATGCGTAGCAGCCTGGGGTCCTGAGACCTCCCCCACTGGGGTCCTTGACAGTATGTCTGGGTTAGGGCCAGAGAATCTGCATTTCTGCTGGTGCAGAAGTCATTCGTCTAGGGACTTCTTTTTGACATTCCTGGTGCCGAAGGAGAGAGATGGAGAGCAGCACCACCGGGCAGAAATTATAATTTAAGCTGAAACCCAAGTGTATAATGAGGATTTTCAAGTGGTGAGAAAGCAGTGAAATGAATTGTGATGATGCAGTTTTATTTAGCGTTAAGTGTCGAGTGCCAGCCCTGCCCTATGTGAAATCAGTACGAAGAGTGAGAGTGAGTCATCTTACCAGCAGCTATTCTCGGCTTATACGGTGATGCTTGCTTCTGGGCAGATAACATTTCCTAGGCTCAGGGCGCAGGGGGTGGTATGAGCCCTGGGCAGTGGCTGCTCACTTGTATAGTTCTGGGTAGTGACTTGAGAGTTGTCCCTGCCCCTGCAAGGGCGTGGAAGCCCCAAGCCACCATCCAAGTTCTTACTGGGGCTGCTGTGGAGGGAAGAGCATCAGTCCCTTCCTCTAATGAGACCTTTTTGGTGATTGCCATAGGAACTGGCCAAACCCTTGATCACTCCCAAAATCTCATTCTTGTTTGGAGAGCCCAGTGTGGACTATTTCTACGATACGGGCACGTCCACCCCAGGTGGGGAGGAGTATAAGTCATCACCGGCCCTCTCAAACAGCCTGGACGATGGCCCGGTCCTGAGCACTGTACAATCCCGGGAGTCCATCAGCTGGAAGGGCAGTGTGACTCACAAGCGAGACACCCCCTCAGTGAAGAGTGTCAGCAGTGACATAGAGAAAGAGCCTGAGGACGGGGCGGAAAATGCCGATGCCAGCACCCTGTACAGCGTCGACACAAACTTTGAGTCTAACATGTGCCTTAGAAACTACTCTATCCACGTCTCGAAGGACATCCTGGAGAAGAGTGCCCAGGCCTACAGTTCCATGATGCACATCCCCTCCCTCTCAGACAAAGGGACCGTGAGGAAAATGGCGCAGACCATGGCTGAGTAAGTCACTGACGTTCTGTGGTAGGTAGGGGTGGAGCATTGCTTCCAGGGTGAGTCATGTGTTCAGCGGGTACCCATCACAGCCCTGCACCACCACTAGGAGCTAATTCTAGAGGCCACGTCCTATGGTCTGGGACTCTGTGATGACTAGTTTTATATCAGCTTGACGCAAACTAGAGTCATGTGGGAAGGGGGACCCTCAGGTAAGAAAATGTCCCACCAGACAGGACAGTGGGCAGGCCTGTGGTGCATTTTCTTGATTGATGGCTGATGTGAAAAGGCCCAGATCAACGTGGGCTGTGTCGCCTCTGAACTGGTGGTCCTAGGGTATATACAAAAGCAGGCTGACCCAGAGTGCAGCACCCCTCCATGGTCTCTGCATCAGCTCCTGACTCCAGGTTCCTGCCTTGCTTGTGTTCCTGCCCTGGCTTCCTTGAATGAGAGGCTGTTGCCTGGACGTGTAAGATAAGACAAACCCTTTCCTCTCCAAGTTGCTTTTTGTTACAGCATTTGTCACACTAAGAGAAACCCTAAGACAGCATCCTTGCAAGGGTGCCATGGTGGGGCTGCATTTTCAACACCCAGGCAGTGTGTGGTGTGTGTGTGTGTGCGCATGTGTATCTACCTCGCTGTCTGGTACCCACCCCAGGAGGGGCCAGTCCACACCTCATGAGGCATCTCAGTGAGGTTGTGACCATGCTGGACTGAGGCCCTGCAGCACCACAGCTGAGGCTAGCTCTGGTGGCCCACACAGGGAGGTCTGATGCTAGCTATGCTTCTGAGGTTTGGAAGGGCTGACCTTGGGCATTTTCAAGGAGAACTGGATACTGGGTGCAGCGTGTCTGTGTTGTCAGCACCCGTCATCCCTTATGCGGAGGATCCTGTCCAGATCCTAGGTGTGGCGACCACCCTGTACATTCCCTCCATCCTCTGACACTGTCTTTCTGGTACCCACAGACGTAGAAACCGCTGGCTGACCATCACGTTGCTGCTGCGTAGAGGCGCTGATCCCAACCTATGCCAGGTGCCCATGCAGGCCCTGTTTCTCGCCGTGAAGGCTGGGGACGTGGCTGGGGTGAAGCTGTTGCTGGAGAGCGGGGCCCGGACTGATATTCAGTATCCTCCACAGGTCGGTGGTTCAGTACCCTCCACAGGTCGGTGGTCAGAGGGGCCTCCACAGGTCGGTGGTCAGAGGGGCCTCTGCCGTACAGTGGATGTGGGGCACGCCCAGACTCCCAGTCCTTATCTGTAAAAGCCCGTAGCTCCTCGGGGCCAGCAGTAGGGCTGGTCCACCCTGCCTGTAAACACCTGGTGTGTGAGGCATTGGTGACGCCATAGCAGGAAGGGGGCCTACCACTGAGGTTTCATGGTGCGGTTAAGATGGTTTTGAAGGGGTGTTATTTCTCACAGTGCGCCATGATGTGTGTAGTTTCCTGATGCCCGTGTTTGAAACAAATGCATGATGAGGAACCTGGGTGGCTTGGTCCAGGACAGAACAGTCGCACACAGTTGGGGAAGTAAAAAGTCACGTGGACAGATTAGTCTGACCTAAACTTGAGAGACACAGAACAAGAAACGGAGACAAAAAAGAAAGCTCCTGTGTTGAGAACCTGACGACCCAAGCCCACAGCACAGTGACCTGGGTGGACTAGGGAGGCCTTGGCTCCTGCCTCCTCCCTCCTGGGTGCTTCCTGTAATACTCGTTCTTCTTTAGTATTTGAGTCAGAGTATCATGTGGCCCCGGCTGGCCTCAAACTGGATGCGGGCAGAACAGGCCTTAACCTGTGATCATCCTGTCTCAGCCTCCCAGGTAGCTGAGATCACAGTCATGCGCCTGCTCGTCTGGCTGAGGAGGTTGCCTTGAAAAATAGCTTTGCACCTCCAGGCAAGCTCTCTGGTTGGCAGTTAAGTCTCTGTGAGTCCCTGGGAGCTCAAGTTAGTTGAGTCTGTGGGTTTTGACTGACCTAGGCCCTCTCTGCATATGTTACAGATACATAGCTTGGTCTTCTTGCGGGGCTCCTAACAGGAGGGTCAGGGACTATCTCTGACTCTGTTGCCTGCTTTTGGGACCCTTTCCTCCTATTGGGTTGTCTTGTCCAACCTTAACAGGAGAGGAGGTACATAGCCTTTTTTTTTCTCTTTGGGGGGGTCTATGGCCCAACTCCCAAATAAATACAGGGTGATTTATTCTTACTTATGAATACCTGGCCTTAGCTTGGCTTGTTTTTAGTCAGCTTTTCTAGCTTAAATGATTCCCTTTCTCTTTAACTACATTTTGCCTTTGGGCTTTTTACCTTTCTTTAATTTATATATCTTTCTTGCCTTCTTATTCTGTGGCTGGCTGGGTGGCTGACCCCTGTGTCCTCCTCTCCGTCTCCTTTTTTTTTTCTATGAGTTTTTTTCTCAATGTATTTTTTATTTAAATTAGAAACATGCTTGCTTCACATGTAGATCCCAACTCCCTCTCCCACCCCTCCTCCTTTGTCCCTCTACCAGCCCCCCCCCCCAATCCTCCACTCAATATTGTAGGAGGAAACAGTGTGCAGCCATTAGCCATGTGACTTACTAGAGGCACACACAGATGAGGTAATAAAAGGGCAGTTTACCGCACCACTAACCACACCCACTTTAGGCATGACTAAAGACATATACGGACGAAGGCGGTGAACTACGTCACTAGCCAGGACCACTTTTGGGCATGGCTAGGGTTTACGGAGGAAGGTATAAAAGACTGAACAACGAAGTCTCGCTCTCATTTTCTGCCGCCGAACTACACCATTCCCCAGGGAGGGTGAGACCCTCCATGGGGGATCTCCAGAGTCTGTCACTTCATATGGGGGCAAGGCATAGGCCCTCCCCCATGTGCCCAGGCTGAGAGAGGTTCCCATCATATGGAATGGGCTCCCAAAGTTCATTCGTACGCCATGGTAAACACTGATCTACTACCCAAGGCCCCAGAGATTGCCAAGGCCTCCTCACTGACATCACATTGAGGGGGGTCTGGATCAGTCCCATGCTGGCCTCTCAGCCATCAGTTTTGAGTCCAAGAGTTCCCCTTTGCCGGATACGCTTTCTCTGTTGGTTTCATCAGCAGCGTCTTGACCTCTTGGCTCATCACTCCTCCCTCTCTGTCACTGGGTTCCAGGAGTTCAGTTCAGTGTTTAGCTGTGGGTATCTGCCTCTGCTTCCATCAGTCACTGAATGAAGGTTCTAGGATGGCATATAAGGTAGTCGTCAATCTCATTATCAGGGAGGAGCAATTAATGTAGCCTCTCCACTATTGCTTAGTTTGCCAGTTGGTGTCATCCTTGTAGATCTCTGGAAATCTCACTAGTGTTAGCTCTAACATTATAATGTTAAACCTATAATGACTCCCTCTATTATAGTATCTCTCATCCTGGTCTCCTCCATTCTTCCCCCGACTCAACCTTACTGTTCCCCCATATCTTCCTCTCCTCTCCCCTTCTCCTCCTCTTTTTCCCGGTTCCCTCCCCTCCCCTCATGCTCCCAATTTGCTCATGAGATCTTGCATCATTCCCCTTCTCTGGGGTATCAAGCATATCTCTCTTGGGAATCTCCCTGTTTCCCAGATTCACTGGCAATGGAATTGTAGGGTGGCACTCCCCTGATCCATGTCTAAAATCCATATATGAGTGAGTACATATCATGTTTGTCTTTTTGTGACTGGATTACCTCACTGAGGATGGTTTCTTCTAGTGCCATCTATTTGCCTGCAAATTTCAAGATTCCATTGTTTTTTTCCGCTGAGTAGTACTCCACTGTGTAAATGTACCACATTTTCTCTATCCACTCTTCAGTTGTGGGGCATCTAGGTTGCTTCCAGGATCTGGCTATTACAAATAATGCTGCTATGAACATAGTGGAACAGACATCCTTGTTGTATGAATGGGCATCTTTTGGGTATATGCCTAAGAGTGGAATGGTTGGCATAACTGGATATTGGCATGTAAAAGACTGCAGATAGATCCATGTCTTTTGCCATGCACAAAACTTAAGTCCAAATGGATCAAAGACCTCAACATAAATTCGGCCACACTGAACCTCTTAGAAGAGAAATTGGGTGGTACCCTGAACGAATTGGTACAGGAGACTGCTTCCTGAACATAACACCAGTAGCACAGACACTGAGATCAACAATTAATAAATGGGACCTGCTGTAACTGAGAAACTTCTGTAAGGCAAAAGACAGTCAACAAGACAAAAAGGCAGCTCACAGAATGGGAAAAGATATTCACTAATCCCACATCTGACAGAGGGCTGGTCTCCAAAATTTACAAAGAAATAAGTCTCCAAAACACCAAAGGATCCAATTAAAAAGTGGGGGCACAGAACTAAATAGAGAATTCTTAATAGAGGAGTCTAAAATGGCTGAGAGATATTTAAGAAAGTGCTCAACATCCTTAGCCATTAGGGAAATGCAAATCAAAACAACTCTGAGATATCATCTCACTCCTGTCAGAATGGCTGAAATCAAAAACACCAATGACAGCGTATGCTGGAGAGGATGTGGAGAAAGGGGAACACTCCTCCATTGCTGGTGGGAGTGCAAACTTGTACAGCCACTTTGGAAATCAGTATGGAGATTCCTCAGGAAAATGGGGCTAAGTCTCCTCCTCTTTTTGCTCTTTATCCTCTTTTCTAGATTTCTCCTCCTATTTATTCTCTCTATCTGCTAGCCCTGCCTATTTCTCTTCTGCCTAGCTATTGGCCCATTCGGTCAGCTCTTATTAGACCAATCAGGTGTTTTGAGCAGGCCAAGTAACACAGCTTTACAGCGTTAAACAAATGCAACATAAAAGAATGTGACACATCTTTGCATCATTAAACAAATATTCCACAGTATAAATGAATGTAACACATCTTAAATTAATATTCCTCAACACCCAGCTGCTCTTGGGCTGTGGCGCCTCTATGCCTGAGTCAGCAGCTGCAGGATTGTGCCAAGGTCTTGTGCCATGTAGAGCTAATGCTACCTTGCCAGCTTCTCAGTTCTTTCTGCTTTCCAGCCTAACTATACCCCACCTCCAGGGCGTTCTCCAGGTGCTTTCATCCCTACTTGAGTGAGATTATACTGAGAGGAACTGGTCTGGGGACCATAGCCTGGCTGCTCTGACTGGGCTCTCTCAGTTGCTGCTGGTATTCACTCTAAGAGCAGGGTTGTGCCCAACCCACTCCCCACCTCCCGCCACCCCAGCCCCAACCATGAACTGCTGGAGCTCAGAGACAGTCAGTCCATCAGGGACCAACTTCAGACAATGGGGGGAGGGACACCATGGGGAGAGTCAGAAGGGTGGTTAGGAGCCATGGGCTGTTAGATGGCGGTACCTGAACCAGAGTCCTGCAGGGATACAGATAGAAGATAGCGTCAGACAGACAGCCTAAAACTAACTGGGTTCAAGCCAGATGATTTTCCAGCATTCACAGTTGTGACCCTGGATGCTCGTGGGTTCCATGGCATGTTAAGAGCATTCAGTCCATCCATTGTTGTGGGCATTTGTCTAACTCTACCCTCCTGGGCCTCCTTGTCCTGCACCCATGGGCCTGGTGAGAAGGAGACGGTGTTGTGGGACCCTGAAATGGTTGCAATAAGGGAAGCATCCTCTCCTCTGCTCGGGCAGCAAGGACCATGGCATAACCCTAGCCAGGGCCTCACCTGCCTGGCTGCAGATTGGGTTTCACCCTTACCACACTTCCTCCACAGCTGAAGTCTCTGACCCCACTCCACATCGCAGCCTCGCTTCCTGGAGAGGAGGGGGTCAAGATCACGGAGCTGCTGCTCCACGCAGTCACTGATGTGGACGCCAAGGCGGCCGACCAGGACGACATATACAAAGCCGGCAAGGTGTGGCTGTGTTTGGCTCTGCAGCTGTGCCTACTGGCAAAGGGGGAGAGGTGACAAAAAGAGACTCAAGTGCATGCTGTGGTCACCGTGCTCCTGGTCCTGGCCCCTCCTGGGGTGAGCAGGCCAGGCGGATCAGCACCCAACAGTGGCCGTGGGAGGAAGCAGGCTGACACACTTGGTAGACTCCTCTCAGATTAAAGGCTGGGGATGCAGGCAGGCATGGTGTCACATGCCTTTAATTCCCAGTACTCAGGAGGCAGGGGTGGGCAGATCTTTGTGAGTTCAGGCACAGTCTAATCTACATAGCAAGTTCATAGAGAGATACTGTTTCAAAAAAGGGGAGGGACTGGGGTTGGGGCTCAATTGATAATATGGTTTTCCAGCATTTCATTGTTGATATTCAGGCATCTGTACTGGCCTGTCCTTGGGGTTCTGATAGGATATGTCCTCAGCTGCAGCCACTAAGAGCATCACCTGTGCAAGATTCTCTATGTTGCCTTTTAAAAGGGCCCTGCCCCTGCCATCTTTCTCTCTGTCTGTTCTCTCTCTCTCTCTCTCTCTCTCTCTCTCTCTCTCTCTCTCTCTCTCTCTCTCTCTCTCTCTCTCTGCATCTCTGTCTCTTCCTTGCCCCCCCTTTTCTCTTCTGCTGCCCCTGTCCCCAAAGACCAGTCTCTCCCCTTCCCCTTCCTCTTTTTCCCATCCCCTTTCCCCGAATAAAAACCCTTCCATGTGAGCTCTGTCACCTGGCTCTTTCTCTCGTGCTGCTTTTTAAATGACAACATCCTCGGTACCACAGGACAACAACACAAAAACACCACCACAACAAAAACAGGGTTGGTGGTGCATGCCTGTGAGTCCGGCCCTCTAGAGGGTGTTGTGAGTGCTGTGGGAGTCATGGTGGTTCTGGGAGGGTTCAGAGGAGTATGTGGGAAGGTACTCCACACCTACAGTCTGCCAGCAGGCACTCTGGTACACACAGGTCTGTCTCAAGCCTTGTGTTTACCCCAGATTGACCTCCTGCCCTCAAGCCTGAAGCTCAACAATGAACCAGGCCCACCCAGAAGCTTCTACACTGTCCACACGTTCATCCCAGAAGAGGGCGGACGCACACCTCTGCATGTGGCCTGTGAGCGAGAGGACAACAAGAAGGTGAGCAGCCGTGGGCCCTGCCCTGGGGTTGACCAGATTGTCAGAGTGAGGAGTGTGACCCTCCCCTGTAAGGGTGGGGCTGGGCACCGAGGGTTGCTGCATGAGGGATGATAGGCCAGGCAAGATTTTGTTCAAATAGGATATGTGTGTGTCTTTAAGCTTTCACTTCTAAGTCAGGGCGTGTGTGTCCATGTACCTACACATGTGGGTGCTAGTGTGTGATTGCTTGGGTGCTGTCTCTGTGGTAGCTCTGGGCAGAGAGGGCAGCTCTGGTATGAGCGGGCCTCTTGCCATGCTGGCTTCTTGATGTGGTATCCTGGCTGCTGCATCCAGGCCTATGGTTCTGAAGCTGCTGGGGTGGGCTTTCCAAACCACCACAAAAATCCAGTGTGGGTAAAAGTGAATGAAAATATGAAAAAGAAGAGCTCCCTGGCCATGCATGGACCCACGCCTTGCTTGGCCTTGGGTGCCATGTGAAGTCACTTTTGTCCTTGGGGCCCAGGGGCTGCCAACCCCTCGGTCATCCTCTTTCCTCCCCTGCCTGAGTCTCTAGCCCCTGTAGCCCCTTGACTCCCATTTGCCTTGGGACTCTGAGCTAGGCTGGTATGGGAACTCCTCAGGAGAGACTGAGTGGCCGGGGCAGGCCAGGGAATTGGGAGGCTGTGGGGAGGGGAGTTCTAGGGCAGCGGAGTGCAGCCTCATAGGTGACACTGTGGAGAATGGAGAGATGATGCAGAGGAAAGAGACAGCCCCTGGCCCATGAGATCAGAACTTCCTTAGAGGGCAAGGGAGGAGCTAGACGTAGGGTCCCACCGTTCTCTCTAGAGCCCAGAGGGCAGCTGTGAGCCCTGGGAACAGGGGCAGGGAGGTTTCAAGAAGGCAGCCTGACCAAGGCTCTGGCCAGTGTGAGGCATGGGCCTGAACAAACACTTTCCACGCATGTGTGTTTCAGATTTAGAAGTTCCGGGAAGACTGGGGGCACTAGTGTGGCACGATCGTTAGGTCATGGAGACATCAGTGGCGAGGGCAGGGAGGTGGCAGAGTCCATGGATGAGGGCATAGAGGCTACAGACGTTCAGCTATCACACACACATTGGCCGCTGAAGATGGAGCAGCTTTCCCAAGAGCCCCCTCCACAGATTTCTGGCATCTCATCAGCCAGTCACTGAGGCTGCAGGGAAATGGACTGGGAAGAGATTGGTCCCCAGCTCCTAGGGTTTGTCACATCCTGAGGTGCAGTTTCAGCAAAGTGTATAGGGCAGCTAGAGAGAAGCCCCTGCAGTTGGGGAAACAGAGGCACCACTGACCACCACTGACCCCCACTGACCCCCACTGACCCCCACTGACCCCCACTGACCACCACTGACCACCACTGACCACCACTGACCCCCACTGACCACCACTGACCACCACTGACCCCCAAAAGAACGGGGCGAGGTTCACACGTGCGCCCAGGTAAAGGAACTTCCCTCCATTGCCCCGGCCATGCCACCTTCACGATTCTCGGTTCTTTGAAAACATTCTTCCAGCCAATCCATTTACCAGGACCTTTCCTGTTTCCTTCCTGTGAATAAAAGTCTGGAGTCTGTCTGAGGACCCTCCGTCTCCTTGCCCCATGTCCCTGGGTGGTGCTGGTGCAAGGAGCCAGCAGTTGGGCGACTGGCTTGACTTTGGAGGTGGCAGTTGTGTCATTGGTGGTGTGTTGGGGCCGCTTGGGTATGGGGCCTCCGGTCTCATGTGCATCTGCCTTTCTTCCCACAGTGTGCCAGAGACATAGTCCGGCTCCTGCTCTCGCACAGAGCAAACCCAAACACGCTGTGGAGCGGCCACTCCCCTCTCTCCCTGTCCATTGCCAGTGGGAATGACCTGGTGAGCTTGTCTGCACCCGCGAACACGGCCCCTTCTGTACCCGATTCTTGTGTATTTGGCTCTAATGTAGGTGTGCACCAGGCAACTGGGCTGTTTCTGCCACCATCGATTCCCCTCCTTCAATCAGTCGCTGGGTTTCCTGTGTCATTTCCCCACCTCTCCATAATACTGGCTGGTTTATCTACCCAACCTCCTACCCACTAACCGGTCCAGCCCCCTACCTGCCAATCTAACCATATAGCTGCTCAGCCTGCTTTCCCTCACCCACCCAGACATCCATCTACCTACCCACCTACTCATCCACCCTCCCTCCATCACCGTCTCTCTTTCTCTCACAACCTTTCATTTATCATTGCTTACTGAGCAGCTTCCGGGAGGAGGCAGGCTCCACTGTGTTATAGCTCTGGGAATCAGGCATGCAGCACAGTTTTAGAGAGTGAAAGAAAAAGGAGAGTTGGAGGGGAGTGGCCGAAGGGCCTGGACAGATGTGCTCTTGGCCAGTGGTGCACACCTGCCTGACGGCCACGCTCTTTCCCAGGCTACAAAGTGAGGCAGGAGCAGAAGCCGGCAGAGCAGTGTCGGAACCAGGCCCTGAGTGGAACTGCAACTCCTCCCTAAGGAGCTTGTCCATGACCCTTCCCACCCGCCATGTTCCCTGTGGGTGGGACCTGTGGATAGCACCCAGCACTATGGTTGCTCAGGAGTCTGTCTGTGTGTCCAGGTTGTGAAGGAGCTCCTGTCCCAGGGAGCTGACCCCAACTTACCTCTGACCAAAGGCTTGGGCACTGCCTTATGTGTTGTGTGCGACCTGGCCTATGAGCAGCAGAGGAGCACGGAGAACAAGATTGCCCTGGTGAGGGGAAGTATGGGAGGAAGCTGGGGATGGGGGGGGGAGAATACTGACATAGTTCAGGGTGGGATAGGCTGGGTCATCCTAAGATCATGTCTTGACTAAAATAGACTAAAGGACACAGCATCCAGCACCCAGCAGTTCGTGGGAAATGAGATGGCGTTAATCTGTTGACAGTGTCTGCATCTGGAAGGTCTGCTTATATATTGTGTGCTGAGAAAGCAGACAGCATGTTAGCACCTTTCCACAGCACCCAACTGCATTTATTTAGGGTGTGTGTGTGAGAGACGGGGGGGGGGGCAAGTCATGTTCTGCAGCCTCACTAGCTTCAGATTTGTAATCTTTTGCCTCAGCCTGCTTCCTAAGTGCTGGATTACAGCTGTCCACCACCACACCCAGCTGGAATCGATTGAATAACAGCCACATCTACTCCACACGCCACTGTCTACCACACCCTGCTGACTTCAACTGCAGCTGTCACAGTTTCTTTTACTGTATTCCATTCTTCACTGTGCACTCTGACAACTCTCAGGTCCCGCGTCACACTTCACTTAATAATATGCGATTGTTCAGAAACAGGCACAGGACGTTGTGCCGATGCGGAGACGGTGTACTGGCGAGGAGGTATTGTACTTCCTGGTATGCTGACTGAGGGCGCTCCTGACTTACGTACAAGGGTTATAGCTTTTGAAGGCCGACTGATGCTCCACTGTACGCATGTCCTGTCTGTTGTATTTGTCTCTGACTTTCTCGCACACATGAGGGATGCCCATCATGGAGAAGGCAGGGGACAACAACCCTTCTGGGCAGCCGTGCTCTCCTGCTGGGTGGCGCCCTTTGGCTGCCTTTCAGCTGTCCAGTAAGTGTGCTCACAGGACCTGAAAGCCATGCACATCATGACATGGCCATGTGTGGGACTGCACTGCACAGTCCAATGCTGCAGGTGGCTTCTGTCACCCCTCCGCTGACCCTGTGTGCTTACCAGATTCTGTGTTTGGTAGATTGACCGGCTCATCAGCTATGGGGCAGATATCCTGAAGCCTGTGGTGCTTGTGCAAGGTGAAAGGATGGCCGTGGGCACAGCCGTGGACTACGGCTACTTCAAATTCTACCAGGTGGGTGTGGCTTGGGCTCTAAGCAGGACCCCTTTGAGGCTTGGCTTCTCCTGGGTAAAGCCAGGAGTCCTTAGCCAAGGCTGGCCTTCCAACGCAGAAGACCTCATGATGGTGAGCATGCGCTTTGGGCTCTTGTGAGCAAGTGTCCTTCTGTGTCACATTAACCGGATGGAGAGAGGTGGCCTGCTCACTCAGTCACTCTGCAGTCTGGGCTGGGGGTGGCCTGAAGTCCTTGGTGACCCTTGAGTGTGCCTGGCTGGCAAGTGGCAGCCCAAAGGACTCATAGTGACCCTGTGCTCTGTCATAGGACCGGAAGATCGCCCACTGTCCCTTCCATGCTCTGATGCCAACAGAGCGGGAGATATTCATGGCCCGAAAAAGGCTGCTAGAGTACATGGGTTTGCAGTTACGGCGTGCTGTCCTTAGCAAAGAGAACCAGCTGGACATAAAGGCTCTGTACCTGAGCAAGAGAGGTAGGTGAGGCTGGCTCATCAGGGTGCCTGGTGCCTAGCTCTGTTCTTACCTCGACACCCTCATTTCTCCAGACATACATCAGCTCGCCCACATTCTCCCCGTGCCCTCCCCCACTGCCAATGTCACATTAGACTAGAACCCTCCCCGTTCCAATTTTCTCACACATGTCTTCGGGTCCACCACTCTTCCTTAACACCCCAATTACCCACCATGCATATACATATGTCTTTATGTCCACAGATGCCTTCGCTCACATTGTTCCCAATGTGCACCCATCCACCCCCAGGAAGCATCCACACAGAAACCACTGCCTTCACTATACACCCACATACACCTACACCCACATGCACCAATACCTGCTACAAAACCATGTAGGGTCCACTTATCCACGCCCACCCGCACATATCCACCAACCTGTAAACCTCCCTTATAGCCACAAATCCAGCCACAACTGAATATAGTCAGCTCTTTCCTCTACAGAGTAACCCACCCCTACCACAGCCACATCTGCTACACACATGCCTATCTACCCACCTGTACACTCATACCCCGATATCCTGAGCCCCCATACACACTTATCCCCTCCACCTCCCATACACGTATCCACCTACCCCTGTACCCCACCAATAGTTCCAAGCTACATGCCCACACTTACACACAGCCATCTACACACCCAAGCTACCACCTTCTCTTCTACATACAACCAGCCTCCCCTACACACTGCTCACATTCCCACCCATAAACCTGCGTAGCACATTCCACATTTATGCTAATTATTGTACACATACACATATACATACACAGCCACTAACTATTCCTGCACTTTGTCTCTGCCCCCCCACACTAATGTATCCTGACTCAAACAGCTGTCCCCAAAGGATGAAGAATGTGGAGGCTGAGATCTAGCCAGTGTGACTGGGTGGTGATGCTTCTCTCCATAGTCTGTGGGGCACAGGCTCTGTCTGCCCTAAGATACCACTGAGAATGCTGGGCCTCTGACCTCTCACAACAGCTGTGAGGCAGGGGGCCTGGCTGAGGGGAGCTGGCTGAGAAGACCTGGGCATACAACCTCTCTGTTGCATCACCGAGTAGATCCCGAGGTGGGGATACCACCCATGGAGAGACTTGCCATCTCCCACTCTGATTCTGGAGCCTTGATGTGGGGATATCACCCATGGAGAGGCTTGCCATTCCCCACTCTGATTCTGGAGCTTTGATGTGGGGATGACTTGGTGCCATGCTGTAGAGCAGTAAGCCTTGTCAAAGAAACAGACTCCTTTCCATGGCACATGGACCAGTTCAGGCCTGATGGTGAGAGGCGCCTGTGAGGGCGGTGACCCACTGGTACCACAGGCTGAGCAACAGGATGGCTTACTACTAGAAAGAACTAGCAGAAATGAGGGCAGAGGAGCAAGCCTTAAGCACTGGCCTTGGAGACTTTTGCCTCAAATAGAGTGAGTCTATCACTTTGTAACTGAGAGGTCATTTATGTTCCCAGAACGCTTCTGAAGCCAGTGGAACAACCAGCACAGCGCTGGTTGAGCTGATATCTAGGCAGTCATGGACAGAGACAGACAGGGCGACTGTGGTCATGCCCATGTGTAGCAGTATCAGGAACTTCCTACCGTGGGATGGGGACACCTCACAACCCAGATAGCCACCAAACAAGTGAACAGCAGCAGCAAGCCTGGGCTGGGGTGTGTGATTAGGACCTAGCACAACACCAGGACCAACACAAGACACACATACAAAGAAACGAGAATCTGAGCCACGTGCTAGCATGAAGGTCAGACACTCCCGGCGAGGGCCCGGATGTCACGTTTAACAGGAGTGCCGTTATAAACATGTTCAAAGAATGTGTTAGAGGAAGGTGCTCTGGCAACACCTCGCCTAGTAGAGAATGTCAGTAAAGAGAGAGAGCATCGAAAAGAGCCAGGCAGTGGTGTAGTGGCACACGCCTTTAACCCCAGCACTCGGGAGGCAGAGACAGGCGGATCTCTGTGAGTTTGAGGCTGGCCTGGTCTACAGAGCAAGTTTACAGCCTCCAAAACAATACAGAGAAACCCTTTCTCAAAAAATAACAACAGAAAGAAATTATCAAAAAGAACCAGGTAGGAATTCTGGTGTTCACAATCAGTTCAGTCCCCTATTAAACGTTCACTTAGAGTGTCTTGACTAACTGAAAAAAATCCTCAAGTCAGAAGACAATGTAGGGATGAGCTCAGTCTGAAGAAGAGAGAAGAAAGTACCAAAATAAATGAACCTATGTTCTGCTCAGTAGGTGTGTGGCACCCATGAGCTCATCAGCACATGTGTAGTGGGATTCCAGAAGAGGAAGGGAGAGAAGCAGGAAGTGGTCAAAGATGTGTGAGTTTGCAGTATCCCAGGGACACGGAAAGTGCTAATCACTACATTCTAGAAGATCAATCACAGAAATCTAACGCAAAGAAATCCAGAAACACTTTACAAGGAAATGTCAGAAACCCCGAAGACCAGGAGAAAGTCAGAGCACCCAGAAAAGGATGACTTAGTGCTTACAGGGAGTATCAATAGTAGGCTTCTCATCAGATTCTTCTGTTTTAAAACTATCACTCATTTTTTTATGTGTGTGATTGTTTGTCTGCACATATGTGTGTGCACCACTTGTATACTTGGAGAGGCCAGAAGAGGGTGGTGGTTCCTTTGGACCTGGAACTGCCATGTGGTGCTGGCAATTGAACTCAGGCTCTCTTGAATAACAGCCAGTGCTCTTAACCACTGAGCAACAGAAATTACCGCTAAGATTTCCTTTAATAGCTAGCCAAACTATCTTTAAGAAAAGGCGATGAAAACATTCCTTGTTATGATGACAAAACACCCAACACATGCCACTTATGGGAGAAAGCATTTATTTTGACTTACAGTTCAAGAGAGATGTACTGACAGAAGCGTGGGGTGACTGGCCACCTTTTATCCTCAGCAGCAGAGACAGAGATGAATGCTGGTCTCCTTTTCACTTAGTCTGGGTTCCTATCACATGGAGTGGGGCCATCTACACTCAGGTTGAGCCATGTCGGTTAAGCCTGTCTGGAAACGCCCTCGTTGACATGCCCAGAGGTCTACCTCCTAGGTGATTTTAAATCACCAAGCTGGCAAGTTTCACCACTACTGTGGACTCCACAAATTTAGGTTTCTGAACAAGTAACAACTGGCCTCTGAGAAAGCAGGGAATAATCATCAGGACCTCAGAGACAAATGGGAGGTCATCAGGGCGACTCCTTTAGAGGGTGGGCGAACTGGGCAAGGCTGCCCCGTAGTCTTTAGTGGTGTAGCCAGGCAAATCCCTCCCCGAGCTGTGACACCCACCCCCACACTACCACCAGGAAGCTGACTCAGATCTCTCCACAGCGGAGCTGTCCCCCAGCCACAGGCTGAAGAAGAGGACCTCCAGTATGTCTAAGACCTCAGCCACAGAAAAGCAGCAGTGAGTGCCTTGGGCTCTGTCCTGACTGCCCCTGCAGGGCCACCAACTTCTCTCTGTTCCAAGTGGCAGAGCCTTGGCCAGGCAGCCCAGCGTACAGACACAGGCTCCAGCTGGAATGAGGCTAACAGATGGAGTTTCGGGACTCATGGCATGTCCGGGTGGGGCACACTAGCTCCACATCCTCAGGAGGGTGGCCCCCTCCCGGGGCAAGGCACAGCCCGGCTCAACCTCTGTTTTTCCAGGAGCTCCCTGCCATCCTCTTGCAAGGTGATCCTGTGGCCGAAGGGTCTCTGTGATCACCTGTGCCATGTCCCTTCTGGGAAGGACCCAGGCATATTTGTGGGAACATCTGTAGCACTAATCCTGAGGGAAGGGGCAGGGATAGAGGCTGGTGGGGAGCATCTCCTCTGGAAATGGAGTCTCACCCCAAATGCAAGCTCTGAGGTCTGCCCTCGGGTAGCTGATTCACCTGTTTCCCTGTGCTTGTAATCTGCCTCCAGTCGCCATGTTGGATGCGCAGCCTTTACGGAACCTGTGAGGGGTTCAAAGGCTCAGTGTGTATTAACTGTTCAGAATAACCATGTGGAGACCATTGTGGGTGGGGACATTAGGTCTTTTCCATAGGTGGGGTGTGGGGGCTCAGGCGTGGGCACAGATCTGACCTTGGGAATTGTGTTACAGCCTTGCCTTTTACAAGTTTTGCTACCAATGTGGTCGTTCCATTGGGGTCCGCCTCACACCCTGTCCCCGCTGCTATGGGATCCTGACCTGCAGCAAGTACTGCAAGACCAAGGCCTGGACCGACTTCCATAAAAAAGACTGCAATGACATCATGGTCATGAGTAGGTTGGGTGCCATGTTGGGATGGGCTGGCGAGGGGCCTACTGCTGCTTCCCAGGACAGAGAATGCAGGCCTGGGGAGTGGGTGGGGGGAATAATCACCATCTCCCTTGAAAGCCGGGACTAAGTGTGTGTGTGTCTGTGTGTGTGTCTGTGTGTGGTATGTGTCTGTGTGTATGTCTGTGTGGTGTGTGTGTGTGTGTGTGTGCGGGCACGTGTGGTATGTATGTGTCTGTCTTGGCGGGTGGAATAGGGAAGATAGAGCAGGAACCATCCTGGCTCTCCACCTGCAGTAACATCACTACGTATGGCCACTTCCTTGCAGAGCCAAGACCTGGGTGCCGGGGGTGGAGGGATGCTGTCACTGGATATCTGCTAGTCACATACAGCACAGACGGTTAACATATGGGCTGCCTTTGAGATGTCCCCCTAGCAGTCCTTAGAATTTCTAGCCATGTTGTGAACTCCCTGCTTGCTCCCCCTGACTCTTCGCCCTTCCCCTCCTCCCTCCTTCTCCCCGGCTCCACTAAGGTGGTGAGTGGCACAGGGGTCTCGGCTGTATCCCAGCCCTGGTATTTTGGGGGCATTACCCATTGTCCTGGGCTTGGTTGGGCTGCTCCTGCTGATGACCACATCTCCGATTTGTCCTCTATTCCTGTAGCGGGTACCCTCAGTGGGGTTTACCCCGGATCTGGTAATAGCCTTTGTCTTACAGATCTTGTGGGGGGCTGTCTTTGAAAGGCAACCATAGCTCACCCTTGCTGCAGGCAGCACTGTAAGCACCGGAGCAAAGCATAAAGAAGTTGACTGCAGGCCATAGCTGAGTGAGGTGGGGCTCTCCTTACCCTCTGTAGACTGGGTGGAGGTCTAGGTAGTAAGGCTTAGTGGTCACTGCTCCTGCGCCAGGGACAGTTCGGGCTCATCTACCCCTTGAGTGTCTTGCTCAGGTCCAACAGCTGGACCTCCATGCTTCCCCCCTGTACCTCCTCTTATCCATCCTCCTCTTATCCATCCAGTGCCCCATTTGGAAAGCTCAGCTTGGAAGGAGTCAGAGTCCCCGTGAGGGGACAGTGCTTGTTGCTGAGCCTGGGGAGGAGTCCAGGGTCGCGCCCTGTGGTGGCCTCATGCAAGAAGTGTCTGCGCTACGGCAGCTGCATGTCACAGCAGTCTCGTCCTCCTGACCTGGCAATAAAGTGACCTATGGTGTGTTCTCAAGTCTATGTCCTGGGCTGCGTCTCAGAATCCCGGCCATGCTCATCATGCTGACCTTGGTCTCTCGTGAGACCCGTGCCATGTTGCAAAGGAGCAGGGCCGGTAGACAGGCAGGTCAAAGGTCAGGACTCTGCTAGGGAACCGGCTGCAGGACAGTGGCAGGGCTCATGCTGGCACCACAGTGGCAGGGCACATGCTGCCACCGGCTTTCTCAGCTGTAGCCGTTCTCAGCTGTCTAGGTTCCTCCTATGGACTCCAGCTCCCTATGGGGTTCAGGGTGCCTTTGAGGTGTATTAGCTGTACTACTAGGCTTGCTCTGGGTCCACAGTAGAAGCATGAGGGTTAAGGGAAGAGTCAGATGGTGTGGCCCTGCAGAATCAGACCCACTTTCAGGTGGAGGGAGCAGGCAGGCAGTGAGGACTGCAGCCGGAAGGTAGACAGGCCTAGGGGTGTCTGGAGCAGAGAGCAGACGAATAATAAGCACAGGATGGGGAAGAAGTGGGAAAGGGGCCGCAGAGCCCAGGGTATTGGGGAAGACCAGCTAGACAGTCTTTCTCCTGGCAACAGCACAGCAATATTGCTGCCTGGGTTTCGAGTTCTACTCCAAGGAGGAGGTTCACAGAGGTGCCAGGCAAGGCTTACATTTGTAGGTGAGGACCACCGTAGAGAGAGGGACAAACTGTGTCTTTATGAACTCGGCCACAGGTAGCTTTTCAAGAGGGGCTCCTGACAGGCAGGGATTGGAGCTTTGTCCCCTAGTTCTGGTCAGTTGACACCATGGATGACCTAGCTCCTTGTTCCAGAGTGCTAACATTGGTGGGGGTTCGGGTGCTGGTGTCCATGTCAGCAGCTGGACACATGAGCATCCTGCTTCTACACCGTTAGCAATGAAGAAGCTTCCACACTTCATATGTACAGTAACATCAAGCAAATGCAAATGAGTTACCCTGCTCTCAGAAAGGGCCACGGTCACTCCTTGTGTGTCCTTCCAAATGGGCTCATGCCTTTCCAGACATGTGGGGATGCAGAGACTAGTCAGGCATGCACACACGTGTACCTAAGAGTAAGGGCATTCCCCTGTTCCAAACAAGGCCATGGTATTTTCCTACAACATTTTCTTCACCCTGCATTACTTTGTCTAAAATATGCACTAATTGTTTTCAGTTTTATCTTGCATGTTTTGACTGTATGAATTTACACACACACATACTATACATCCCCCTCCCACACTATACACCACATGCTTGGCTGCTTGGTTGATGACTGTGGAGGCCAGAAGAGGACATCCAATCTGGAATTGGAGTTGCAGCTACCATATGGCTGTTGGGCATTGAACCTGGGTCCTCTGGAAGGGCAGAAAATTGGCTCTTAATCACTGAGTCATTTTTTCAGCCTCCCCAAATTGTTTAAAAGGCGATAATTGTGACAAGCGTATTAATCTGTGTCCATTCTGAACATTTTGGGGATACATTTAGATTTCAATCTGTGGATGCACACAGCACTCTAGGATGCCTTGTACACAGGCAGATGTACCTCTCTACTGATTTCTGCCTTGAACAGTTGAACAATTATTTTCTAGTGCTGTGGTCCCATAATTTCAAAATCGGCCTTGGAGGTTGGCAGAAGTGTCAGACTGAAACTCAGGCCATTTTGCCCTTCAGTCTACAAATGGTCATACACCCCGTCACACACTCATTGGGCTTTTATCCCTTCCGGTGGTTTCTAGGAAGCCTTCCGTGTTCCAAAGTGAGCTCTCGAGAGGTTATGTTGGTCTAACAGAGTTGAGGCCCACAGAGTGACCTTGTGTGACATCTGTCCGTGCTGGTGTGATGTTTATGTTCTTTACCTTCTTTCTCACACCTCTAATGTGACTCCTCTTCTCTGTCTCACCCTGTAAAAGCAGCTTCTTGCAGCCTGAACACATAAAAACTTGCCGCCATATATCCGTCCATCCCTGACAGGCTGAGGGAACGGTCTCACGACGAGAGTGCAAACAGGGGTGACTTAGCCCTGCTGTCCATAACTATTTTAGTATGTCACTGTTAGATTGACCTGTAGTTTCATCATCTGCCTACAACTGAGAGGTCCTGGGTCCTCCCTAAGGTGGTCAGTGGTGGCTGCTGGTATTCACGTCTCTCCCTGTGTTCTACAGGTGACCTCTAAGCTCTGTGGCCTCAACCTGCAGGGTTGTGACACATTTTCCTGTCTGCTGGACAAACCCGCTCATAGCTAGCTCCCTGAAGCCCTTTCAGATTTCAGATTGTGGATTTGGTCGTCAAGCTCAGCTATCTTGCTGGGACTTTGCAGTTGACTGTTTTTGACAGAGACAGCGGGAAACACGGGAGTGCCCAGTCCTCTGGGTGAGACGTGAGGCTGTGCTTCCATCGTTTTCTTCCCATGGGATTCGTTGATGGCTCCTCTCTGGCTTTCACGTCACATCTTACCTGTGAACGCCAGCTGCTCTCTGCCCAGTGGAGCCCCATCCCTCCCCTCCTCACCATCCTGCATAGTGTTCCTGGCTTCGCTGTCCACTCCTCGAACAGCCCCTCCCGCCTTTCTGCTCTGGGCTGCGTGGCCTCCCTGCCATTGCAGCCCACGCCTATCTCTAGCCCCACCCAGACCTGCTGTCCCCTTGTAGCTCCCTGCGGTGCCCACCTCCACTGGGTGGATTCCGCTGGGTCCCTGTCTGTGTCTTTCCTGCTAGCCACAGGCTCGGAGCTGCTGTATGGTCTCTTCAACTCTGTTGTTAGCCTGCACCCTAGGGGTCATAGGACAGGGTGGCCTGGTCCCTGTGCCTCAGGGACTCCCACTCCAGCACGACCAGCTACGTTTGCCGTGTGTTGGTGGGAAGAAGGGTTGAGGGTGAAAGGGAGTGGGCGAGGCAATGCATGCATGGATGGGGTTGCTCACTAAAGCAAGGAGGGGCCACGTGGCTCCGGGCATACGTTCTCGAAAAGCTCCTCTTAGCTGGGAAAGTTATCTCTTGGAAGCAGAGGTGAGATAGTAGGGGAGGGAGGGAGCTGGAAACCCGGGAGGGAATTGCACTTATGCTCTGTCCAGGAGTCAATTACTGCAGAACAGTAAGCTTCCTCGTGATGCCAGGTGGCTTGTATCCAACCCAGAGCAGTTGGAGGCCTGAGCTGTCATGCCAGGGAACAGAAAAAGGGAGGAAACTCTACAGTGGCCATGTCCTATGCCGCTGCTGCTGCCTGCAAGGAAGGGAGGTGACACCAAAGCTGGTGTTCACAGAAGAACCTCCTCCTCACCCACAGCAGGGCTGGGGGCCCCAGTGCTGTTGGGCTGTTTGTGGCTATAGTGGGTATTCTGGGTCAGGTGGTCTGGGTCAAGGCTGTGGGGGTCACTTGGAACTTGTAGGACGGAAGTAGGAGAGGTCCACACATGGCCAAGTGGAGGGTAGGGCCTTCTCTACCAGATATCTGTTGTCTACCGGAGCCTCAACCCAGCCCTCTCTAGGGGCAAGCCCAAGGACTTGTCCCAGTATCTCAGAATTCATCCTGGCTTCTGTCACTAGCGCTTTTTGTACGTTAGGGGCCTCCTGCATGGTATTGAGACCATTGGGCAAGTCTTCTGTGCTGTCACATGGTAGTGGTTGGGACAGCAGGGAAAGGAGATGCCGCAAACCCCGTCAGCTGCTCTGTTCTGACTCTGGTGCCCAGGTCCTGGCTACTCAGCTGCCGAACCTCGGAGCTAAGTTCCATCCCTGTTGGGAGATGTGTTCCTTCTCTTGTTCTAGGGTTGGCAGGCAGCCCTAGGGTGGTCACAGCTACCC